TATCTGGATTGCTAATAGGTCAGATTCCGATTGGTGCTTTTAACCAATTTATTAAAAAATTCGGGTTCGGGTTAGCTAGATTCGAAAGTTCAATTTCGGGCCAGACTTGAATCTGTCATGTCAACCTATTTTGACACCCCTAAGAAATCCATTAGAATTTTCTAATAATATGTATACCATTAATTGTACCATACAAGGATAGTATTTGTAGCTTGGAAGGTGCACCAGCCTCCTTTAAATTAATGCTTCATTTGGGACGACTTTCTTACTGCTTTATAAAGCAGCTTTATATTATTAAAATTTTAATTTTTTATTTAAAAATTGCTTTACGAAGTAGTAAAAAAGCCGTCTCAAACGAAATCTAATTAAAGCACCTGCCAAGGATACTGATAAGAGCTATTGACAAAAAACGATAAAAAAAAATAATAATAATATGCATCTAGAGACATCTAGATTTGACAAATTAACTCGTGGTTGAATCTGATAACGTAATAAGGAGCATTTCCCAGAAAGGAAAAGGATCCAAAAAGGTATTCGGATTCTATACTTAACCGCGAAAAGGAAAAGCCCAGTCATCTTTCCACTTTAAGGGCCTCAGCTTTCCATCAATATTATTTTACAACGCAGAAGTGGGAGAGAGGGACCAAAAATGTTTTTTTTTTGGGAAAATAAGGACCAAAAATGTTAAAGCTTTTTTTTTTTTTTTTTTTTTTTTGGGGGGGAAATTTGGGGCAGAAGCCCTTCTATAAATTAAGGAAAAAAATTACAAGTAATGAAAGCTTATTCCCAGAAAAACGGAAGAAGCTCAAAAGAGAAAACAATAGAAATAAAGAAACCTATACCACCAATAAACCTAACCAATGAAACCAACAAAATGTGGTATACAAAATTTGATCAGGACTCAGGCAAGTGCTGCAGCTGAAGACGAGGGACTCGGTCATCGAATAGATCAGATAGAACCCCTGGTTGCCAAAAAGACCCTCCAAGGGGTTGGTGCTGCAGCGGTCATCATTGTCCTGCAAAATTGTCTGAAATAACCAAAAAAACGTAGCTTCCAAAGTAACCCAGGGATCATCCAGTAAATACATCCAGCGAAGGAACCAACAATTGTGGCAGCTTCCAACAGTCAAAGCAAAAACATCATTGGGCCAATTGCAAGGAATAGCAAGAAAGCACGTATTATCCCAAGAGATATAATAGGTTGCTGCCATTTTTCCATCTCCCCAGTTTAGCATGAACTGCATATTTAATCTTTCTAATCACCGTAGTGTGGCATTCAATCTTATTGCCAAAAATTCTGTCATTACGAGCCCGTCAATTGTAGTAGATAGCAGTATTTACTAGAAGGCTATAGAAATTCAGCATATCAGAAGTGTCCGAAATGTTGTCAATCAAAAGCTTTTAATTAGGCATGTGGATATATTAAATTTAAGCTAGATTAATTGTTATATAAAAATAATTCAACGTGAATTTTTGTCTATTCTTATTTTTTGTTTTTTTTACCAATAAGAGTGTGCATGTCATAATACAACTTTTTTTGTCGACTTAAGCAATTTGAGCTCAAACCTACAATATGTTTTCATCTTAACATTGAGTTAGGTTAAATTATTCTGTGGAGATACGGACGTCGTTCGGAGACGATTCAGAACACGTTACATCATCTATTTTGCTGTGTATCGTGGGCGCGCATGTGTATCGAGTGACATGACATATTCTGATTCACATTAGAATAGTCCGGTGTCCGGCTGTCCGCAAATAAAAATTTCTACTGAGTCAAGGCTAGGTCTATGTCGTAATCCTATTTTATCCATCATTTAAAAAGAAACTTATGATATGTTTGGGATGGTTGCTTCTTTTTACAAAGTTGATGTGGTAAAAATAATTTTTTTTTTGAAGCAACTATAAAAAGCAGTTTTTTAGCTTCTAAAAACAGTAAAAAAAAAAAAACAACGAAATAAAAATTGTATATAATGATGCAATATGAAAAGCATTTTTGATTTTTTTCTTCTAAAAACAGTAAGAAAATTTTCCAAGCAAATTCTTAATTGAGTAGTAAAAATTTGTTGGACGTAAGGGTTTGACTATTTGATTTGGTAATTATATGAGCTTGTAAAAATTAGTTGAATTTGAGTAAAGGATTTGACTATGGTGGCTGCAATTTTTGTAAATTTGTTGTGAAATTATTGTGACAATTTTTTTTTTAATTTATATGAATATCATAAATAAATTTTATCATGCAAATTTATAAACAATAATATAAAAAACTATATATCCTAAATAAACGTTTAATTATATGATTCAATATAAACAATGAGTCTCTTTGACAATCCTAATTCTAGCTAATATGATTTATGAGTGCTGATTATGTGGTGGATGGATTTTAGCAGTGGAATTAGTCAATTAGGGTCTCATTAATTGGTGGAATTTGCCAGATCGATAACATGCAATAATAGTTAATAACCTAACCTTTTCAATACGGATTTATCCACACCAAAGTTTCTTTGCTTTCTGAAATATGTGAACATTAGTAATTAATAGCCTTCTCAGGCGTGATACCGATAATTCGGTGAACTGCTACTTTGTTCGGCTGAATTGTTTGAATTATGCCATATTAATTAGTATAATAACTTCTCACTAACATTGAATGAAAGTCTTGTTATTCTCCCTTATTCTGACTTTTTTTTTTAATTAGACAGCGTACCAAAGTTTAATTAGAAATCTGTTAATAAAAAAAAAAAACTTTTTATTGTAGTATGGGAGCTGTCTTCAAGAGATCATTATAGTGATATATTTTAGTATTCTCGTTTGAAAAGGGGAGATGAGAGATTAAGAACTTCAACATAAATCTTTGTGTTCATATTAATTAGGAGTTGGAGCTAAGGTCAACAATTTGTATCAACCTTATGGACAATGGTGTGCGTTGATGTTGCTGGGTGAAATCAGTGGGGTCAACCTTTATGATGATGGCGTGCATCAACCTTGTTGACAATGCATATATTGCTGATGCTGGAGATGGTGAATGATGAAGTTTGCTAGGACTGATATAGTGGGTGACAATGGTTAGTGGATCATAGTCTAGGATGGTGGTCAGATGATTGTATTTAGGTGGTGATGATCAGAGGAGCATAATTAAGTAACAATGGTAGCTTTCTACTGCTTTACTTTTCAAATAGTTTTGATTTTACTATTATTATTTTTTTTATGATCGAAAGCTATATGGAAGTGGTAAAAAAGCTAATGTAAGATTTTCAAAAAATAACATATTTATACTATTAATAATAGCTTTTAAAAATTATTTTTTTTATAATAATTTAATAACTATTTATTAAAAAAATTACACTTCAAAAAGAAATCTTAAATTTGATTGCAAAAATAAATTTATATAATAAACTTTTGGGAAAGCAGAAAAAAAGGAAATAAAATAAAATAAACTCAAAACATAATTCAAAAATGGGAAATTTACATACATATCACTTTATAACATCCTATTTACATATCAAACATCTAAAAATTTAATATTACATACATATTACCCTATATTATTTTAATATCAAATATATTACTTATATTTCTTTTCTAACACTCATATATTTCATTTTTACCACTCATATTTGATATGAAAATGAATTATGAATGGGTATGTATGTAATATTAAAATTTTAAATGTTAAATATGTAAATAAAATAGTATTAGATGGTATATATATGTATATGTACGTAGTGAGAAAGCTGCACACCTTGAGAGCTCGGCTCTGATGGCCAGGCCTCTAGGTTTCTCTCCCTCCATAGCCCCAAGCCTGTGATAACGAACATTTTTCTGGCTTTTCGCACCGAAGGAATACTCGCCAGTACGACTCCTCTCACCACTGATGTCACCAGCTCGATCGAAATTTCCTAGAGAATCTCTTAGGGGATCATCTCGCCTCCGACCAATTCTCTTAAGAAGCCCATGCAAACGGGGGCCGTTGCTCCGACCGAATGGGTCGCTTTTCCGATTATCTTCATTGCAAATCGATGCGCTGCTAACGGGAAGCTACCCTGTGAGTTTATGCAGTAGTGTATGATTAACCTAATTCTGTTTTTTTTTTTTTTTCAGATTTTTGTGCCGTAGGCGTTCGACTTTTTAGGTAAAAGAACTTATCATGGAATCAGATTATCTCCCAAGGCTTATTACAATTCGTAGGTAGCTTTCCAATGAACATTTCAACATATTAAGATTCAAACATGCTAGGTCTCCAGTTGAGTTGAGTAAAACTATCAGGGTTAATGTAAGAAATTAGACCGGGAGGATGTAACAACTACAGATCATTGCACCCTTCCACCTATTTTAAACCGATCCGGTTAAAGTTAATCCGCATAATCTCTACATTTGAACTATTATTCATGTGTTTGAGAATATTTGATAGGCATGTGAAGGTCTGCATGAGTTCTGAAACGGGTCATGAGTGTTTGATTGCATGTTTTGAAAGTTTAAAAATTTTCCCCTAGGGCGCCGTGGCGTTGAGCTCTCTGGAATTTGGTAAATTAATTCATCGCGTTGTGGCACTGTGCACTCCCAGAGGGAGTGTTGTGACATGCGAGATTGGGCACCGCAATGCTAGGGCGAATTTTTTTATTAAAAATATTATTTTCTACTATTCCATCACTTCCACCCAATCAAGATAACCGGCTAGAGAGAGAGGAGGAATTCTAGAGAAAGAAAATTTATTTCGTGCCACTTTGGGTCATTTTCTATTCTTGACCTAGTTCTGAAAATTGTCCAGCTCTAGGTAGGTTGAATTTTGCCCATCCCAACTTTCAATAATACAAAATTTTCAAATTTTTTATATTTAGTTTATAATTCTGTTAGCGAAAAAATGGTGATAACTTGATATGTGCACAAATTTAAACGTGTAATTTTCTTCATGTTGTAGAGACAATGATTTTAGACATTTAGATGTTTTTTTTAAAAAAATTATATTAGGGTATTTTGAAAAATACGTCATTTTAATTGCCTGAAAAATAAATCTGACCCCTGAAAATGATGTTATTGTACAATTAAAATTTTAAAATAATGCTATGGACAATATTTGATAATTTGATTATATTCTAAAAAGTGAATTTTTGCTCAATAGTATATTCCACGTTGTTTACCATTATATTATATTGTTAATTTTTGAAATGAGTTTATTTACATTTCTTTAACGGCAAAGTAATGAAATATATGATTATCTACTTGAAATGTGTGATTCAGAGGATATTTAGAAGGTGGAGAAAGTTCTATTATGATGCTAAATGCACATCCTGTCCCAGTGTTAAGCATTAGGAGTTATAAGGACATGCTTTCTGATATCCAGCACAAAAGTCACAAACATCAGAATTCTCTGAATTCTATTCTGATGGAAGGTATAAAGACTTGAGATAAATCTATTATATTCCGCTCTGATATATGAAGTGCTTGTTTATTTACTTTATTGCAATTAGTATATGCTAGTATAATGATTACTATGAGCTGCTCTTAAATTTAGTTAAATGTTTTCAGTGTCGTCAATCGAACACAGGATATAAGAGTGTCCACGGGTAAGACTGTATTGATGTTCTGAATATATATCTGAGAGTTTTGTCAGACCAATAGGGAGATCGAGGATAGTTCAACTTCACACGTTTGCCGAAGTATCATTTAGTAGAGGCAGTGAGTTCGGTTTTATAACAAGTTTTGTAGCGGGGAGACGCCCTCAACTTAGAGAGAGCCTGTTAGTTCTGTTGGGCTAACTCCGATTCAAGCATGTGTATAACACAAGTCTTGAGATGCTCTAGATGTTATTACAGGTACAGTTTATATTTCTGATCAACCCTATAGAATTTTATTCAATTTTGGAGCTAGTCACTTATTTATTTCTGAGTGCTACTTTGATTTACTATATTTATCTTCCGTATTACTCCCTTTTACCTTGTTTGTTATTTTACCGACAGGAAATGGTATGGCAATCAATAAAGTATGCTTTTGTAACATAGAAATATTTGATAAGAAGTGAAAGTCCAGTTTAATTCTATTGCCTATATCTGAATTTGGTGTTATTTTATGTATGAATTGGTTGAGCCGATATAAAGCTCAGATTGATTGTTTGAAAAATGGGGTCACTCTATTTCAGTATTTATAGGTAGCGAGAGCTATCTCTTTCAGAGAGTTAGAGGTGTTATGTTGTATTTAATATTTACTGTACAAGTGGATAGGTGGTGGAAGAAAGAGTGCAGGCCATTTTGGCATCAATTCGAGATAGGAGTTTAGATTTTAATTTTTTTTTCTGATATCCTGATAGTACTAGAGTTTCTGGATGTTTTCCCCAAGGAGTTGGCAAGTTTATCTCCAGACAGGGACATAGAGTTCTGCATTAATGTGTTTCCATGTATGGTTCCTATATCTAAGGCTTTGTATATGATGACACATAAGGAGTTTCACAAGTTGAAAGTACAGCTTTAGAAGTTAGTTGACAGAAGATTTGTGAGGAGCACCTGTTCTATTTGTGAAAAAATGATGGTACAATGAATATGTTTATCTATTACAAAGAACTAAATGAGGTCACTATTAAGAACAAGTATCCTCTAGTAAGAATTGATGATCTATTTGACTAGTTATAAGATCTTCTATATTCTCTAAGATTGATCCAAGATCTTGATATTAAGTGAAGATGACAAAAGTATATTTTGCAAAGACTTTTTTTCAATACTCGATACGTATACTATGAGTTCTTAGTCATGCTTTTTGGGGTGGCTAATGCACAAGCAATTTTCATTAATTTAATGAACATTATATTTAAGGAATATATTGACCAGTTTGTGATCATTTTTATAAAAGGATATTCTAATTTATTTTGCTTTTGAGGAAGAGCATGTGACTCATTTGAGGATTATTCTGGAAATGCTAAGGCAACATGAACTATATGCTAAATTCTTCAAGTGCGAGTTATGGTTGAGAAGTATTTCTTTTTTGGGGCATGTGGTGAGTAGCATAGGTATTTTTATAGATCTCCAAAAAGTTTAGGCTATTGATGGTTAGCCAACTACTTTATCTGAGATATGTAACTTTTTAGGCATGATTGGTTACTACAGAAATTTTGTGAAATGATTCTCTCAGATTTTGCACATTTGACAAGATTTGACTTAAAAGTTAGTTACTTTTATTTGAAAATCTAAATGTGAGGCAAACTTTAAGAAGCTATAGGACTGTTTGACATATGCTCCAATTTTGACTCTTTTGTTTGGTATGAGAGGATTTTAAGTATTCAATGATATGCTTCACTGAAAGGATTAGACTGCATTATGATGCAGTGGGAAAAACCAAAAAAGTTATAGCCTATTCTTTCAGAAAATTAAAGTCACATGAAAAGAACTAAGAAACATTCAATTTAGATTCTGCTGCTATTGTATTTGCTTAGAAGATCTAAAGACACTATCTATATGAAATCAGGTGTGAGATTTTCAATGGTCATTAAAGTCTGAAATATATATTCACTCAGAATGATTTGAATCTAAGACAAAAGTGATGACTTAAACTGATTAAAGATTTTGATTTAAATATTTAGTATTTTCCTCATAAAACAAATGTTATAGCAGATGCTTTGAGCATGAAGTCTTTTGGGATATCAAGCTACTGCTTACTTCTGATGAATATTTGATTCAGGATATGATGATACTACAATTAGAAGTAATTCCTTCTGTTGACCGAGATTATGATATTCTAGCTGAGATGATTAATATTTAATCATCTTTACAAGACAGAATTCAAGAAGGCCAAAAGTCAGATCCAGAGTTTATGAAATTAATTGATCAAATTAAGTCTAATAATAAATCTAAATTGCGATTATATAATTTTTGAGTTATTTTTTATAAGAACAAATTTTGGGTCACAAGTTCTGAAAATTTAAGATTAGTTATTTTGCACGAAGTTCATTATTATGATTAAACTATTTATCAAAAAGCAACAAAATGTACAATGATTTAAAATGTATGTTTTGATGGCCTGAATTAAAGAAAGATGAGGTAGATTTTATGGTTAAGTGTGAGTCATGCCAGTTGGTAAAGCAAAATATCAATGACCAAGAGGTTTTCTACGACTGTTGCCCATTCGAGAGTGAAAATGGGAAGAAGTAACGATGGATTTTAAAATGAGATTTCCTAGGTTGAGACAGATGTATTATGTCATCAAGATTGTGGTAGACCGTCTGACTAAATCTGCTCATTTTATGTCGATCTGACAATCTCATTCAGTGGATAAATTGACACATGTCTACGTGCATGAAATTATTCGATTGCATGGGATATCGAAGGTGTTCATTTTGGACAAAGATGACAGGTTTACCTCTAGGTTATAGATGAGAATTCAACAAGGTCTGGGTACTAAATTGTATTTTAGTACGGCTTTTCATTCACAAATTAACAGACAGTCTGAGAGGTCTATTTAGATACTGGAAGATCTTCTGCGATTGTGTGTTATGGACTTTGACGGTGGATGGAAGGGTGAAAGGAATCTAGTAGGGTCAATTTTAGTTGATGGCTACTGAAAAGATTCATCTGATCAGGGATAAATTAAAAGTTATGCAAAACACCAAATTGTAGAATTCCAGGTTGGAGATTTCGTATACTTAAAAATTAGGTCGATGAAAGATATCAACAAGTTTGGTAGAGAGGGAAAGTTGAGTTAAAGGTATGTTGGACCTTTTGAAGTAACTGAAAGGAAAGAAAAATCTGCCTATAGATTACAGTTGCCAGATCATATGTATGACATTCATGATGTATTCCACTTGTCTATGCTGCAGAAATAGGTATCTGAGTCTGGAAATCGAATATCTACAGAAGAAGTTGAGATACATTCGAATTTGAGCTGTAGAGAGTGTTAAATCTCAACCTCTCATTCTCATGTTGATCCCATGGCTACAAGTACAGATCCGTGAGAATCCCGCCTTAATCACGTTGAACACCTTCCATAGATGTGTAGCTGATTTAGGAAGAATTATATTTCATTATTCTGTAGTTATTTATTTCCTTATTAAAGCATCTTGTATAGATCTATAAATAGGGATCATTATATATGATAAAATTCAAGTTTTCCTCTCAAAACTTCTTGTTTTCAACAGAGAGAAACCAAAAAAGATTATGGCTTATGATATTTGAAAGTTAATAAATAAACATATTCTAATGGTTAAGTGACAATGAAAAAACATAACATAAAGAAAATATACTTGGGAGAAAAAAATTTGAAATAAAGCATCTCTATCCTGATATGTTTTGATGATTCGAGTTTTGAAATGTCGACAATGATATTTTTTTCTAGGAGGGGAGAATTGTAACTCCTTCAGATTAGTGCACCGTTCCACTTTGCATTTGAACCCTTCTGCATATACTTGAGAATGCTTAGTATACATGTGAAGGTTTGCATGAGTTCTGAATGGGTCATGGGGGCCTGTTTATATGTTTTAAAAATTTGAAAAATTTTTCTCCAGAGGTGCTGCGGCACCAAGGTAAGTGACGTTCCGATGTTGAACTCCTCCCTAGAATTTCGTAAATTAATTTAGTGTGGAGGCACAATGGGCTCCCAGAGGGAGTGCTGTGGCCCGCACGATTAAACGCAACGCTGTAGCGCTTGGTCAAATTTTTATATTAAAAATATCATTTTCCAATATTCCACTCACTTCCATCCAGTCAAGGTAGGTGACTAGACATAGAGGAGGAATTTTAGAGAAAGAAAGTCTATTTCAAATTGATTTTGTCGTAGGGCTAGTTTTGAATATTATTTGACTCGAGATAGGTTGAATTTTGTCTATCTAAGTTTTTAATAATATGAAAATTAGAAAATTTTCGTATTTAATTTATAATTCTATTAGCAAAAAACGGTTATAATTTGATATGTGCAAAACTTTCACAATGTAATTTTCTATATATTATAGAGACAATGATTATGAACATTTAAGCGTTTTTATGAAAATTTTATATTGGAGATTTTTGAAAAATGTGTCTTTTAATCGTTTGACAAAATAAATTTGACCCCAAAAAAATGTTGTACAATTAAAGCTTCAAAACAATACTATGAATAATTTATGGTAATTTGGTTATATTTTGAAAAAGTGAACTTCTGCAATAATATATTTCACTATATGTCGTTATAGTATTTTATTAAATTCTAAAATTAGTTTATTTACATTTCTTTCACTGCAAAGTAATGAAATATATGATTATTTGCTTAAAATGTGTGATTATGAGGACATCTGGAAGGTGGAGGAGGTTATGTTCTAGTGCTAAACGTAAATTTTGGTGCCAAAGACACATTCTAGTACTGTATGCACATTCTATTTTGGTACTAGGCATTGAGAGTTATAAGGACATGTTTTTTGATATGCTAACACAGGAGTCATATGGTTCAAAATTCTCTAAATTCTATTCTGATGGAAGGTATAAGGGCCTATGGGAAATCTGTTATATTTTGCTATGATATATGAGGTGCTTGTTTATTTCATTTTCTTGTATTGTTCTTTACATTTCCGATAGTTGCAAGTACTATATGTTCAGTGCAATAATTATTATGCATTGCTCTTAAATTCAATTAAATGCATAATAAATAATTTATTTGAAAATTTAGATCGGTAAGTGCGACTTGCTGAGCTGTGTTGGTTTACAGTTTATCTTCATTTTGTTTCAGGGTCTGGGAAAGGAAAAAATCATTTGAGTAGTTGAATTAGGATATGATCTTTATAGGTATTTCCTTTTCTGAATTTTGTACGGTCATGGCTAATTCATTAAATTTCTCTGTTATATAGTTTAGTCTGTAGTCATGTATTGTAGTATAAATACTGTATATATATTTTGAGGAGAAACAAAAAGAAATTCTTAGAATGAGTTATTTTCTATATGAGAAAATGATCAAAATGGTCTCTCAACTCTTTGTGAGGGACCAAAATGGTTCACAACCCTTTTGAGGGACCAATTTCATCCCTTAACTCCTTAAAAAGGGGGCTTTCTGATCTTAACATCAAATTTTAGTGTTAATGATGTTAAATTAAGGGCTATTTTTGTCATTTTTAAAATAATTATTTATTCAATATAATTTTCAAGTAATAATAATTTTTTTTTTTAAATATTAAACATTAGTAATTTTTTCGGACACTCTTTATTGAGATATCAGAAATCAATGCATATTTGAAATTTATCATTATTCATCTTTACGGAAATAATACTGGCTATTCTATCAATATATTTTTTCTTTCGATTAAAGTCCACTTCAATGAGCTTATTTGTTTTTATTATTATAATTTTTCTTTAAAAAATATTAAACATTTCTTTAATAAAAAAACAATTTTAGCTTTAATTTTAAAAATTTTAGTCATATTTTATTAAATATGATATTTATTTATTTAGAGAAATCAAATGCAATAGATGTTATTTTCAACTTAGTCACACATATTTTTACCAATCATATTTTCAACTTAGGCTGAGCCAACTTTGATTTTTTGGGATGAAATATCTAGCATCTTGATATATTTGAACATTATGAGACAACCATGTTGACCTAAAACTGCCATAAGAAAGGCCGTAGTAGCGGAACTCCCGTTTCGTCAACCCGTCAGTAGGGACTGTAGGAAGAACGAAAGCAAATTTGGCTTGACAAGTTCAAGTGATCGTAGTCTGCAAAATTCTCCCAAATGACTGTAGAATCAAAGTTCCAGTGGGAAGAAGGGATCTTTAGCAACTACCAAATATTTGTAGGCTTCAAAATCTGCAACCATGAAGGAGAACACCAAATCTACAACTTCAATAAAATCAGCATTGGGAAGCGCAATTCCCATAGCTCAAGTCTGAAGTCTGAATGGGTATAAAAGATCGGATCCAACAAGCTCAAATATGGTCGGATCGCTGGCAGCTTCGTCTATTCAACAAGCCATAAGAAAGGCCATAGTAGAGGAAACCCCATCCTAGCAACTAGAGGACAAAGAGCTATCAAATTCTAGCTCTCCTGATCTGATGAACTCAAGTGATTTAGATTAAAGTCTTCTCAAGTGATTAAGGATCAAGATACTACCTACGTTCGATACTATCAACTGAATCCAAAACCTGCAAATCATTCAACAAATTCGTAAAGCATAAAGCGAAAATCGAAGGAATTTTTCTTTAACAAGTCCGTCAAAGCACAAAGTAAAGGACCGAATAAAATTATCCCAAAGTTCGCATAAAGCCCAAGGCTGAACTAAGTGGATTCTGTCATCAACAAGTCCGTTATGCACAAAGCTCTAGACCGATGACTTCTCGCCACCGACCTAGTGCAAACCTAAAGGGTTTAGGTCTCTAGCATCTACTCCTTCATCAAGCCCGCAAAAGCTAGAAGCAAAGGGCAGAAGGTATAAATCTCCTGACAAGTCAGTAAAGACAAATCAGATAATTCTTCATCAAATGTCCGCAGCACAAGTGGGCTCCGAAAAATTCCATTTTAGGTGCCCTCCGGTTGATATATTTCATTTTTAAGAATTTGAATTATTGTTTGATTTGAGATTTGACCCCTCCGGTTGAGATTTCCAGTCAACACGGCCATCATCAAGGTGATATTGAGGTCACTTTTATTTTTGTAAGGATTTTGGGAGGCATTTTATACTCCAAGTCATGTCGACTCCAGTCCTTTTGAGGAGGAGGATGAAACTTGAATATTAGACCCGCGCAGTATTCTCGAATCATCGGATTTAGGACTTAGATGTGACGATTGGAGCACATGCAGGTTGTAGTATTTGACCCTGCGCAGCATTCTCGACGATTTGAGTTTGTAAATTTAATAGTTCTGTCGGAGCACATGTAGGGGTATATTTAGTTCAATGAATCATATTTAATATATAAGGGGCATTTTAAAATATTTAAACATGATCCATTACGTAAGTGATTTTACTTAGAAAATAGCCCGGGATTTCATTTAAGGGCCTACGAACGCCTTCTGTCCGCTTGTACACATGTTGCGGATCCGGTGGCGTGTTAGATTTAACTTATTACATTTAGTTTGTTTTGACTCTTCTAAGCGTCAATTAGCACAGCTCGCAGAAGGTGTTTATTCAATCGCCACTACTAGATCGTGTTTATAGAAGAATTATCTTGTTTGCTATAAATTCTCTTATTCTCCCTTATAGGTGGATTGATTTGTTCAATATAAACTCCTTATTCTTGTTCACAGGCTAGTTGTTATGGGCACTATAAAATATCTTGCTCTTATTTACAAGTGCATGGTAACATGAACTAGAAATTCCTCGCTTCTATCATGATAGACTAGTTTATTTTATAAGAGCTTCTTATATGCCTGTAGCATAATATATAGAACACTACAAATTCTTTGAATTCCATTTATAGGTAAATTATAGTGTGCATTGCAACTTGTTATATTTATTGCATGTCAAATTCAATCTCTATCATATGACATTGATAAAAAAAAAATTATAATGTAGATTTGTGAACTTCAATGTACTATAATCTTTTTTTTTTTTAAATGTTATTAAACATCTCAACCATGTCAGAAAAATACAATGAAAGAATTATTCTTCTCATTAGCCATCACTTCCTCCATCTTAACCATCATAATTATGCTAGATCTATGAAGTGGATTTTATTTAAGTTGGTTAGTTAAATTAATTAAGAGATTTAGTGTTGAATTAAATGCTCTTAGTTAATTTAGGATTTTGATTCAATTAATTAATTCCAAGTTATTTTTTCAATCTTCTCAAAATTTGGCTAAGTCTTGAATTTCTGAGTAAATTTTGGCAGCCTCCCGGCATCCCCTCCCCGATGCCGGGAGGTAAGAGAGTGCTCGACTCGACCGGATCAAATCGACGGCGAGGAGATTTGGTCTTCAGAAGATTTGATGATCGCCATTTGTAGATGATTTGCTGTCGATGATTGGATGCAGATTGTAGTTGATTGTCGATGCTCGCTTGGAAATCCCTTTTTTTATTTTAATTTATCACATAATTAATATTATAATTATTTTAAAATTAAATGAGCATTTGAGCATTTTCCAATCTTCCAAAAATTTGGCTAACTCATAAAATTTTTAGAAAATTTTGGCAGCCTTCCGGCGTCCCCTCCACGATGCCGGGAGGTAAGAGAGTGGCTCGACTCGGCCGGAGCGAATCAACGGAGAGGAGATTTGGGAGAGCGAATCGATCCCATAAAAGAGTCTTTAAGTCTTCTAATGTGGGCGATCGACCTGTTAATTTAAACAATATAATTTAAATTAAAAAAATACTTTGTCCCCTCGAAAATTTCGGTAGCCTTCCGGCGTCCCCTCCCCGATGCCAGGAGCTAAAAGAGTGGCTCGACTCGGCCGGAGCGAATCAACGGCGAGGAGATTTGAGAGAGCGATCGAGTCCATCGGTATCTGTGCTCCCTCGGCCGGATTAACTCGACGGCCAAGGGCTTCGGGGGACTGAATCAACCCCGGGAATCCTCCGATTTGACGATTCCGGCGTCTTCCTTAATAAGGATAATAATAATGATACTAATCATTATTATTATAATTTATTATTATTAATTGTATTTATGTAGTAATGAGTCATTCCTCTTTACTATTTCAAACACTAAGACATGAGGTCGACGGCGTCGAAAGAGGAGAGGTCGCTTGGAGATGTCGGAGTTGTAAGAATAGGAGATCGGAAGAACGTCGGTGGGCTTCGGCTGAATGAGAAACCAACGAGAGCACCGGTATGGCTTCGATTTCTATCTCTGTATTTCTTTCCTTCGGCTCTGAGTGCGTGTATGTGCGTGAGAGAGAACCGAATGAGAGGAAGCCAGTGTTTTGTGTCGTGAGGAGTGATTTCTGCTGAGAGGAGTGTGATCGTGGGCGGTTATGGGATCGATCGTGGCTGAGGTGGAATGAGCAGTTGAGTGCCGTGGGTAGTTTTAGTCTAAGCCGTTGAATGGGCGGCAATTTTAGGTCAACAAACCATCTTAATGTTCCTAGGTTCATGAGGTTTATCAAGGAACTTGGGTTAACCAATATACGACTTATCATGATATCATCGCTTTTGATTGTTCCATTTAGTGGACAATTATGCTTTGTAGTACCCAACATGAGATCGTCCTTGAGAAATTAATGCTAGCTCATTTTGAGCTCACATGACTTCAATCAGACAACTTTTAACAAAGTATGTTTCATATATCATTAGATCTTTAAAAGTCTAAATTAAAATATGTGGAGGTCTTTTAACATCAGAAGAGCTTCACATATGTTGATATGTGTGGGAATCTTTCGTAGGTAAAGACAAGATGTTGTAGTCAACTTTTTTTGCCTAGGGAAAGCTTCTTTTTTAGATCTTTGGGGATGATTTCTTTATTAATCATGATATTTTTTTTTCTATCTTTACTTGATATTTTTCTTTGGTGGAGGCTATAATACTTTACCCCCCTTTAATTGAACTTGATCACTTCGTTTGTATTAGATTCCTCTGACAAAGCAACTCCTTCGTAGTCATCCTTTTTCATCCCAAAAAATTAATTGCAAGGCTTAGAGTCACTGCTTAATTTCATGCATTGCATTTGTGATGCTATTGTTGGTTTGGCTTGCTCCCATCTGGAAAGCACAAATTTTTTGAGCTATCATCTATCTAGATGCCATTAGATAGGGCTAGAATGTTTTTTTGTCATGCATTTCCTTTTTTGTTGAGATAGATCTTCTAACCTTTTTTTTGCACTCGACGTTTATTGGAGCCATTGTTGTTGGACTCCTACTATGAATTTAAGGAGAGATTTTTTGATAGGCATTGGACATCGCTCAGATAACTCATCACACTCAACTAGAAGGATTTCTTCAATTTCATCCTCTTCTTCTTCTAATTCGACTATTTGAATTTCAGACATATAGTCAGAAAGCTTAGCAGACTGATAATAGTTCTCTAGATTATCTTATTGTTTTCTTCTCCTTAGTTTTGCTTAGCTTGTTCTTCTTTTTGGGAGTGTTTGACTTTATCTTATCAGACATTGTTGAGCTAGCTTAGTTATTGACTTGCTGTCTAGAAGTAGACGCATTTGAACTTGGCCACACTTTTAGATCGAGCATTTGCTCAATTAGAGGTTTTCACTTGACACCTAGAATTTCTTTAAGCTACTTCTCTTTATCGTCTTCCTTGAGATCGCAGCTCCCATTATTCATCAATGATTGATTTTTTCCCCTTTAGTCGGGTCACTAAAGAGGATGCAACCATTCTTGTTAATTCTCTTTTTATGATGAATTAGGATATTAATTGATGTGTAAACTTCCTATTTCTATATTTTCTTTCCAGTCAATTATTCAATATATTGCAATCTTCAATAAGATGGCTGATTACCTTGTGATACCAGCAATAATTGGGGTTAAAGTTTGATTGGCTTCTTCATGTCTCTTGCACTATAGTAATGGAGGACATGCTTTAAAAATGCATCTGAACAATTTTGTCACGCTCTCCCTTTTAATTAATACTCCTTCGACTTGAGGGATGGGAGAATTTGATCACGAGCTCATAGCTCCTGAAATGTTATATTGGAGGCCATGCATAGATAATGCGTCATTTTATCATCTATGTTACTTATTAGTAATTGAATTGTATGTTCTTCCTTCAACTGCTTCTCGTACTTTATCTCCTATTACAACAGTGGGTGATTTAGTCACTGACTCATACCTTCTTTTCTCTAAGACGAGATTAGCAATTGTAGTTTTTTCAGTTGTGCTAGCGAACCTTTTTATAAATGTAATTTCTAATATCACAAATGTTTTTGTGGAATCATTAAGAAGTTTAGCATAACATTTGAAAACAGTTAAGGTCAAACTACTAATGAACTAGCAAAAGAGCAGCGCATCATTACCTCTTGTATTGCCATAGTTCGCTTTGAACTGGGTCAAGTGTTGTTTTGGATTACCATTGCCATTAAATATAAATTTTTTTTATAAATAAACATTCATTTTAAATGCATTTCTTTTCATTTGTTGAAATTTCGTTGTATGTGCATGTTGAATTTTGCATCGTTTCACACGCGTGGGTGGATTTTTTGCCGATTTTCTAATGCAGGCACCCGACTATTATGGGTGTCATTTTTTAGTAATTTGGGAGTTCCAGATGCAATGGAGTTGCATGTTTGATGAATGGAGATCATTTTGGTGATTTTACACAACGTTGCACATGTGATTCATCAATTTTTAATTCTTTCTCTTGATTTGATTGTGAGAGGTCTCATTTGGGTAATTTTGTCGCTCTTAATGCAATAGTGCAATCATTTTCATGATTGGAGGTTGTTCGAGCAAGTTTATGCATTGTGCGCTCTTAATTCATTGTTTTCATCATTTACCCGAGCCGTGTGCAAAGGTTGCCTTTGATAATTTTGGCATTCTAAATGTGCTAGTGAGGTCGATTTTGCAACGATGTCTCGATGATTTTGCACAACTTTAATGAATGTCGTACCGCCTCGCACGATGTGGCATCGATCGGTTATCAATTTAGTTAACCATGGGATATATTTTAGGGGTCGGCACTTATTATCAGTATTTTATTTAAATTTCTATGAAATAAGATGGGATTAATGTTAGGCTGGTGTTGATTTTAGATTTAGGCTATGTAGCAATGGATTATCGAGATCTTTAAAAATGAATTGCGTGATCACACCCATGTTGATAGAAAGCTTGGATGACACGTTAATAATTCTCTTGATTTTGTAAATATTTAGCAACTGTTTTTTTTTAGTCGATGCTTACATGCGCTGATTTCTTTCCCAAACAGTTCCTGGAGGGCAAGGACATTGAGCTTCATGCATCTCGGCAAGCAGGTTTACTTGATTTCATATCTTCTGCACTACCTGCCTCTCATACATCAAAACCTGAATCTTGTCAGGTTACGGTGTATCTTCTAAGACTCCTGAGGGTTGTACTGTCCGTTCCAGCTAACAGGGGTTATTTTCTTGCACTAAATCTTTTGCCTCCTATTATTCCAATGTTGTCTGCATCTCTGGATAATTACATAAAGGTTGCTGCTTCTTCAAATCCTGGAAATAACAACTTAGTGAATAAAACGCCAAGTGATAATATGGATACAATTACTGAAGTTCTAGATTGTTTCTTGTTTACTGTTACTACAATTATGGGTTACACAACGACTGATGAAAGAGAACTTCAAATGCAAGATGGTTTGTTGGAGTTGATTGTTTCATATCAAGTTATCCATCGCCTACGTGATCTTTTTGCACTTTATGATAGACCTCCGTTGGAGGGATTTCCTTTTCCTTCATCCATTATTCTAAGTCTGGATCTCTTATCGGTACTAACTTCTAGACCGGGCTCTCTCTCATCAATTAATTGGGAAGCTGGTATATCTAAGTTTACATCAGAAAAGGAAACTGAGGATTCACAGATTATAGATTCTAATGTTGTTATAGACAAATTTATGATGAATGATTCTTCTGGAGATAGCACGTCTCCTCAATTAGTACAGATGGTCACTATTCCACAACCAAGTCAGTTTACACCAGCAGTCGAATCTACTCAATTGCTAATGAAGAGGGTGCAGCCAGCCCGAGTCTTTCTTTCAGATGCATCAGAGACGACATGCAGAACTGAAACTTCTGGTGTTTCTTTTGATTTAAACAGCAAAGAGGCCTCTCTAGTAGCAGATGCACTAGCCAAGTCTCAGAAGATCAAGTTAGAAGAACTAGCCAAGTCACCATCGAATCAGGAAGATCAAAAGATTACAATGGATAGTCACTTGTGCAAAAAGAGAATTGATGAGCTTGTTATGCCTTGTACTTCTGAAATAAAGAAAGAAGTTACCTCTAAGGAACCTGTAGCTTTTTTTCTATTCGCCATGGCTGAGACAGGCCTTGTTAGTCTTACATCATTGCTAACAGCAGTACTACTACAGGCAAATAGTCGACTATCGTCTGATCTGGTATGTTTCTTGTGGAATGGAAAATAATCTTCTTTTGTGCTGTATAATTCATACTCAGTTTTTACGGCACTGCATCGAAGATCCTACATCCTCTACAACAGTTAATCATTTTTCTGTCCATTCTAGAAACTGGTTAATAGCTATTGTTTATAGATTATTGGTTCATATTTTTATTTTGCATTAGGAAGTGACCAAGAATCCCAATCCACATCAGTTAAGAAAATTTGTCATAAAACATTGATACCCTAAGAATGTTAAAGAAACAGTGATCAATAACTAGTAGATTATTGATTCATATTTTATGTTTTACGTTTGGAAGTAATAATCAATAATCCCAGCCCCCCATCTATCAAGAAAATTTTTGCAGTACATTGATGCCCTTGGAAATTTAACATCTTTCTTCAACTTATATCAATTAATTCTCCATCTTTACTTTTACATGATAATGTCATTTCTACTTCTCATCAGCGTTCACTAGACATATTTTCTTTCCGATGGTTTTTGCATTTCTGTTTTCTGCAGGCTTTAGATAATGTGTTTTACTTTTATAATTTTTATTTAATTAAAATTGGATGGTTAAAATGGAGAAGCATTTTAAGAGTATTATGTGATTAGAAAATATGATGGGGACTTCAAACATAAATTCTATAAAACTACAATTAGATGTGGGCTCCATAATTTTTTCCGGAAGCTAGATTATGTAGAGAAGACACTACTCAAACATTTTACCCTCATTTGTAAGGACTTTAAGATCTAAGTTCAAGTTTCCCATAGGTGCTAATCATTATGGTTAATTATCCCCCTCGATAATAGGAGAGCTCTTTTGATTAAGATTAGTTATTAGATAAGTACTTAATACCCAACGTATAATACTAACATATTTAGATTTTTCTTAGGATTAAAAATTTATCAACTTCCACTTAAAACGGATGGTAGGGGAATGATGAAAAAATCAATCAAGATATCATGATTCTGTTGTTTTGGGTCGTCATGGTTCTGATAGGAAACATTGGTAGAAAGAGAGGAAATTTTGGCTCATTGGAATTTCAGCAACGTGCAAATAGTAGTTGAGAAGGATTTTGTGGCTAAACACTTGAGAAACCTTTTAATTGATGAAAGATCGAAGAAAACAAACAAGACACAATGAATCTTCAATTTGAGAGAAAGATTTGGCTCTCTCAATCCCTAGCTGTTGGCTAGAGCCCAAACAATCCTAAGAACAATCTCAATTCAGTAAAAAAAAACCTGAAGATACCATAACCCTAGAAAAATATCCTCTTTAAAGCATACAAAAATAAAGGAAATTCCTAAACGGCCCCTCTGAATTTTTTTCTCCTAAACCACATTAAACCCTTCATAATAACCGACTGAGGGAGGGGGTGGAACTCTTGTTCTGTCTCCAATAAAACAGAGTCAGTCTAGGTCTCTAGGATGGACCGTTCCAATGACCGGTCTAATAGGTTCCTAGTCTATTTAGTTAGATGAGATAATCGACTCAACCTAATCAAAAGAACATTATTGGCAGCCATGATTATTTCATGCAAACCTTGTAGACTTGGGTGGATATTTGTCTAAGGAATGAATTCAAGTCAACCATAAGTAATTGAGGGTTTTATCACCTATCAAGTTTACCATATGATTCATTAGTTAAAGATATTAGCCATTGTGAAACATATCGGTTATGGCTGTGATCGTAATGTAGTGGTGCCTATTTGAGGCAAAACTACTTGGTTAGAGAGCCTTGTATTACCATGTGGAATCATTGGATCAAACTATCAGTTAGATGACACGTGTTATGTTCTTATTGGCAGGAGATTATTTAAGAATAAATCTTAGTGATATTCTCAATTGGACATTTGCTTTTTGTGAGCTGAAATTATTCATGAGTTCATCACCCTCGCCAAACAGCTGCGAAAGGTGGATAAATTTTGCTTTAATTTATGTGATTAATTTTTTAAAATATTTAAAAATCGACTCACCTAATTAAGATTTATTTTCAACATGGTCATATCAAGATAACATTAAGGCTGCTTCAGATATTTTTGTATTATATAAGACTTTGGTGGTATTTAAAAAGATAGAATTTGCTCCAGTTAAGACTTTAATTCTTAAGAGTTAACCCCGTCGATCAAGATTCATCATTAACGCGACCATCATTAAGGGTTTAAATAATTTACAGCTTTGTTATTTGAACCATGTTAATTATGTTTACTTACTAATAGAGGATCAGGTTTAATTATTGACTTCACGAATTTGTTGTACGAAAGTTGAAATTGAGAGTTTTCATTTTTATAGTAAATTTCTTTTGAAGAGGCTTCAAAGGCCTAATGTGAATTTAAAATTAAAATTTTTGATGAATTTTATGATTGTATGTTTGCTTTTTTATTCAACTAGTGTCAAATCCAGTCATTTCAAGAAGGGATGGATTGCATAGCATTCTTGGACCTCGGGTTTATTAGTTCGATGCGATGGTTAGAGCACATGCAAGTGTTCAATATGACAAGAGGATTTTATATTAGTTCGTTTTCAACCTCGCGTGGCATTCTCAGACTTTCATATTTACATGGTTAACATGTTTGTCGAAGCACATGCTGGGTAATTAATTTAAAAGATTGGATTATAGCTTGACTTGCTTTTAACCCCTTGCAGCCTTCTCAGACTTTTGTGTTCGAGTATTATGCACATTTGTCGAAGCACTTGTGGGAATTTAAATCTTTTTAAATAATGTGCACATTTTTTTATACATTTGTAACATGCACTTGCATGTTTTTTTGTGCACTTGCATATTGCATACACATGCTTCCAATGTGTTGTCACACTTTTAGGCGCGCTTGTGTGATATACTTGCATGCATTTTGATTCAAAATGCAATGTTGCATTTCACCCTTCATATTGTATGTTTCAGGAACAGGGCATGAGAAGGTCGATTGAACTCATTAAACAAAGAGAAGATCTCTATCATCGTTTTGCACTACATTTGACCTCGGTGATCCGTGAAATTATTGTTGCCACTTCATCAATTATTGGGCTATTATAATTATTCTGTAATTATTATCCTCTAATTTTATATGCCTCATATTAAAAGTTCTTCTGGGATTATGTAAATAACATAGATATTGAAATGAAATACTCAATCAATTACCTTTAATTCTTGTCAAGATATAATTATATTGATTCTATTTTTCTTTGAATGCAAAACATACTTCTAGATGTTTGTATTTTGAGATTTTATTTGCTTGTTCATATCATTCAAGGAAATCCTAGTGAAAATAATAAATTTTGTTTATTTTATTCAATTTTAAATATTTTTTATTTCTTAGAATTACTAATTAACCGCATCTAGATAAATATATTTCATTAGCATTGATTTTTTTTTTTTTTAAATCATTTCCCACGTTCCCCCCTCCAAGTTGTATGTGGTTATTTTACTGTTTTTTTTTTCACCTTAGGCCTCTTACGTTCTCCCCTCCAACTTCGAAGAGGTAGCCATTGGTGTACTGAAGGTTTTAAACAATCTGGCATGCTTGGATATTTCTCTGTTGCAGAAAATGCTGGTAAACAATCCCCACCACCCCACCTTCCCCACCCACAAAAACAGTTTTAGTAGGATATTCTACATAACTTCTCACATTGATAAAGATTTATTGTAGTAAATGATGCCAACAATCGTAGATGGTTATACTTCTGTGATTTTTAATTCTAAATACGCCTATATCTGCAACAGGCAAGGTCAGATTTGAGAATGGAATTCTTCCACTTAATGAGTTTCCTACTTTCTCATTGCACAAGCAGATGGAAATCAACTAATGATCAGGTAGTAGGGTACTGCGGTTATTCTTTTTATCATCCTTAATCATGTTATCAGTAGTTACCAGTTAGCTTCTGAATCTCTTACAATATCTGGTTAAGATTTTTATACTGAAATTTATGAATTGCTAATAAAAAATATTGTAACCTGCACATACAAAAATATGGCATAATATTTGAAGCTCTATTGAAACTTTGTAGCTTATATTTGCATCAATAATGTGAAATGTAACCATTACATGATATAATCATCATATTGTACTCTTATCTACCATGTGACTGCATGCACAATGTGGTCTATCATTTGATATTGCATCAACTTTTAGCCATAGCATGAAATAGCGAAAAGGATAACTGATTCTCCATGCTTTTTCCTAAAGTTGATAAAGGCAGATTTGATCAATTTTCTCAGGTTGGTTTTCTTCTGCTGGAATCATTGCTCCTGCTGGGCTACTTCTCTTTGTTCCATGCTGGGAACCAAGCAGTCCTTCGTTGGGGGAAAACTCCAACGATTCTTCACAAGGTAGGCCTTGCCCAGCAAATTTTTTGACCTTTGAGATCGCCTCGCCCTCGAATCGATTCTAATTTTAGTTTGCCAAATCAGATCTGTGATCTGCCATTTGTCTTCTTCAGCGATCCTGAGTTGACTCCTATCTTGGCTAGTACCTTTGTGGCTGCCTGCTATGGATGTGAGCAGAACAGGGGTGTGATCCAACAAGAACTCAGCATGGAAATGCTTCTCACTTTGTTGAGATCTTGCAAGCAGAGCTTACTCACCTCCCAGTTTGATAACTCACCACTAGACACTGACAGATCTGATTCCATTTTATCAGCTCCAGAAGCTAAAAAGATCCATGGCGATGGTTCCTCCAAGCCAAACCGTAAAGGCGTGCGCAATTTGTTGTCAAGGGGAGGAAGTGCAGGCTCCAGAGTGATGAAATATAGAGTTCAAAGAGATAATAGAGAAACTAAAACTTGTGATGAATGGGCTTGGAAGCACAATCTACCAGCCTCAGAAGCATCATCTACTTTCATGCTACATAGGAGATTTCCTGGTAGTTTCTTGGATAAAGCTGAGGAGTTCTTCGCATCTGGGACCTCAGATTTTCCAGCTTGACTACGTTTACGTTTGGGACGGTTTTTCGTTGCTTCTTAAAGCAGCTTTCTAAGTACAAAAATTTAAATTTTTTATTAAGAAGTAGCTTTAAGAAGCATCAAGAAAGCCGTCACAAACGAAGCCTGCATATATATATCTTATCTGATAGAGGATGAGGTTTAAGGTTAGGCTCTCTTCTACCTTTAAGGTTCTTTGATAAGCTGCTAGTAATACAAAGTAACAATGGAGCTCTACTCGAGCTGATGTCTTGTCACAAGCAGGCAATGGCATTTAAGACGCTGATCTTCATGCAGGATATGCTGGATACTTGAATTGTTTGTCAGCGTCGACACATTTTTGTTGTAATGAAGTAATTATTTTCTTCACGATTTGATGCACCTTTTTTTCTTCCTCCAATGGTATTTTATGCAAACTTATAGCACAATGCCCTAAAAAATGCAAAATCATGAAGCTTTCAGTTCAAGATCTTGATTTGAACTCATTATCTTAAATTTTTATTATCTATTTGCTCTCATTTGGATCAAAATCAGGTCAACTAACTTTAAGGTTTTATTTGGAGTGGTTTTCTTTCTGTTTTATTTTTTAGAATGTAATCATAATTTTTATTTGATTATTAATTTTCATAATTTTTTTACTAGAAAGTTATATTTGACAATAATTTTCAAGAAGGCTGTTTTTTCTACAGTAAATTTACAATCATCTTTATAAAGAATTACGTCAAGATTGAACAACTTGAAATCGAATCTATCTCGAGTTTCATATATGATCTTGCTATAGCAGAAATTGAGGAAAACTCAAGCTTTTGCACTTATGAGACTTCAACCTAATAAGCCTTTGATGTGAGTCATACACCTCTAAAGAGAGGTGATGATTTCCGCATGCTCTTCATCCATATTGGTTCATACAAAAATAGTGGGAAAGAAGTTCATAATATTTCCCCAATTATTAGGAAATGTCCAATTTAATCTTAAGAGTTTTATGCTAGCCTAATTTAGTCCCTCAACAACAATAACAACAACATCAAGCCTTTATCCTACTACGTGGGGTCGGCTGCATGAATCCTTTTTCTCCATTGTGTCCTATTAAAAGTCAAATTCTCGTTTAAATCTAATAAAGAAAGGTCATTCATAATATTTTCTAACCAAGTCTTTTTAGGTCTACCCCTACCTTTCTTAACATAAGTCAAATCTAATACCTCTACTCTCCTAACCGGGTCATCGCAAGGCCGCGGTTTTATGTGACCAAACCATCTAAGGCGACTTTCTCTAATCTTATCTTCTACTGGAGCTACTCCAACCTTTTCACGTATATGCTCATTTCGTATCCTATCTCTAAGGGTAAAGCCAATCATCCACCTGAGCATCCTCATCTCTGCCACACTTAACTTAGTATTATGCTTCTCTCAAAAATTAAATTTAGTCTCTCGAATATTAAAAATTAATCCAATTTGATCCCAAGGATTAAAATGATTATTAAAGTTAACGTCAAAGTTAAATATAATGATATTTTAGACAGTGAAAGTATATGTAAGATTACAATGCTTATAGTATTCTATTTGCTATTTAAATTATAATAAATGCATAACCAATATTAAAGTTATCCTACTAAATAATAAGGATGAATACTTAGTAAAATAATATTGTCTCTTTAAGTAAAATCTAAATGAAAGCTCATACAATAATAAAAAACTCTTATTACAAAAGATAATATCATTGGTTACAAAATTCCATGATTCTTATTACAAAAAATGAAGTCATTGGCTAAAACTCCAAAATTCTAAATTAAAAAAAAAATCTGCTAATGAAAAGTAAAATTTAAATATTTTTTACTTTAATAACCAACAGATTAATAAAAGAAAGAGATCTACATAACATTCAGTTAAATTTGATAGATTTTCTAACAAAGGGATCAAACATGATAAATTTTTAATAGTCGAAGAACTAAATTGTAACATCAATTTTTGCTCCAGGTTCGTCCGGACGAAGTTGGATTGTTCGGGACGATTGGTACAGGTTGTTCAAGGAAAATAGTTTTGGCTGCATGGTTCGTCGGGACGAAAGTTGGTTCGTCTGGACGAAAATTCTCCCGAAGACAAGTCGCCGGGGACGTTAATTAATCTCGTCTGGACGAAATTCGTCTAGAGCCACTTCATCCTGGGACGAAGTTCTATCGTCCGGGACGATCAGTCTGGATATATATAGAAATGAGATATTTTGAAGAGAGAGAAAAGCCCAGGAGAGAGAAAAAACGAAGGAAAAAGTGGGAAAGTGGATTTTTGGGCGACGCCGGACCATTTTCGTCCGTTGCAGTAGTTCAAGAAATTGGTGTAAGCAAGGTGAGGCATATTCCGCCTTTCTCAATTTTCAGAACGGTGCAATTTGAACGACTTTTCTGTCCGGATTTCGTTTTTGTTAGCGAATTTCGTCCGTATTTTCCGATTGGTTCAGTTTTTACCGCGTAACTTTTGGTATGTTTCTGAGGTGCCGAGTGTGCATATTTTGATTATTTTCTGGAGAATTTTGACCGGGTATTTTTGATTCCGCAGTGTTTTCTTTCGACTGTAATTTTTTACGATGTCTAAAAATGTTGTGGCAGTAGAATAAAAGTCTTGCAATGTCGTTGTGAACATTCTGTGATAATTTGGTAATTTGTGATTTTTAGGAAATTTTGTGTAAATTCCGTATACTGCCGTTACGCTGCCGGATTTTCGTATGAATTCTGAAATTGTCCAAATTTGTTCTGAAATGAATTGATATGATTTTTTTTTTACCATTCATATATTTCATTTCTACCACTCATTTTTGATATAAAAATGAATCATGGGTGATATATATGTAATATTAAAATTTTAAATGTTAAATATATAAATAGAGTGGTATAAAATGATATGTATGTAAATCTCCCTAATTTTTATCTGACTATTATTTTTTTTATTGATTTTAATTATTTTTATTAGAAAGTTATTTTTGACAATAGTTTTCAAAAAAGTTGTTTTCTTCATGATAAATTTATAATCATCTTTATAGAAAATTACAACCGTCTCAAATGAATTCAATACAACAAACTATACAAAACATAGGTTACCTATGCTATTACAGCAGGAAATACATATGAAAAAACAACTATTCAGCCATATGTTACTCTCCTAAACATTCAGAGAAAGGCACTATCCCTGTCATTTACAAGCATTAAATCTTCATCAGCTTCCCCTGCACAACAACCTTGCCAGGCCTTGGAACCTCCCATCATGAATCTATGAGACCACTAAATTTCAGGTTAGGCTCTTCATAGTACTAATAGAGCAGGGTGGGTCGGGGCGCACACTTATTATTGCGTAAGAAGTTTGTGATGCGCCAAAGCATGTCTCATTTTTTCTCGTTTCTTTTATGTCACTCTCAGAAAGTAACCTTTCAGCCAAAAAATTTCTCGGTTAAGCTACTTTGTTTCTCGAATCAAAACTTTTCTTAAGCATATAGAGTGATACAAGCTTTTGACATTAATTAATACAATGGCATACCAGTGATAATACATGCAGATAGGAACTTACAGATCAGGTAGTCGCAAAATGAATTCAAACACAGTAACATGTTGAACTCCATTTGTAAGTTGAAGTCTCTTCATGTCAATTGTTTGAGTTCTTTCACGCTGTTGCCAAACTGTGTTCGGCCCTTTTGAGATTTCTTTGATCGTAATGACAAGCCACAAAAAAAGTATCATCAAAACCTGCAATGATCTTCAGTAGGTTAGCATTTCAAAGTTCTATAATAGCATATTGAATTCTGCATTTGTAGTTCATACACACCTCTAAAGAGAGGCAATACTTTCAGTATGCTCTTCAATCATATTGGTTCATACAAAAATAGTGGGAAAAAATGTTCGGGTTAGTGTCTCGATTATTAGAAAGTGCCCAATTTAATTCCAAAGTTTTGTGCTAATCTAATTTAGTCTCTCAACTATTAAAAATTAATCCAATTTGAACCCAGGGATTAAAATTAACACCAAAGTTAAATATAATGATATTTTAGATAGTGAAAATATATGTAAGATTACATTGCTTATATTGTTCTAAATAGATAACCAATATGAAACTTATCCTACTAAATAATAAGAATAAATAATTAGTAAAATAATATCAACCTTCTCATTCATGCTTCCATTAATAGGAGAAAATAAACCACTCTTCCTCGGCTTCAATTGAAGGCCTGGCCATGGCCATGATACATCAAACTGTAGTTAACAGTAGTTAGTTCCCTTTCTCAGTGTAGAAATCACACCTTTGACATACTAGAGACAGCTTCTGATGGTTCAAAGTGCGAAGAAATGAAAATGTTGTAGCCATTAACCATCACAAACAACCAAGGCAACAAAGAGGATTCATAGCCAACATATACCTTTATTCAGTGCTGCAGCTCCTTAATATCCATGAAGAACTGAATACGCCTTCTTTAGTCACTCAAAATACTCATTTAACTGTAGTAAATGCCCTGTAATGACCCAATCAAGATTGTATGCATCAAACATTTAGAGCATCTCCAACCGAAAATCTCATTTTTCATTCTAAAATACAGTGAAACTCAAAAAAGTTGTGATTCATCTCCAATCAAACTCTATTTTTCGGGCTTCTGCGAAGGTAACCGTCTTTCTCCTCTTTGGCTCGTTTCTTCGGCAAATCCGGTTGAGACAGAAAAATCGCATTGGTGAACAGTGCAACGTCAATATTAGTGTCGCACTGTTCACCCGCAAGCAAATGGCGGAAGATTTGGAGTTCCGCTGGAGCAACCGAACGATGCCATCAACATGTTTGGCGTTCAGTTGGAGATGCTCTTAGCCGGGACAGTAAATGCATTTTTTGCCACCATTTCATTTTCCATGCTTTTCACTAGTGCATGCTTATTGAACGTGCTCCATTTTCTGAAGCTTCGGATCCTGTAGAATGTATGCTGACTTTTAAAAGCAGAGCAGGGCACCAAAATCAGAGAACACATGAAACAGATCATACTATAACCAATGAATAAATAAATATGCGTGCAAACAATGGAAAAAATATAATATAGAGGGGCAAGACATGATTATACCTTTGTAGGTATTATATTAAATCCTTAAAGCATTTTAAAATTCTTACATCAAGCCCCATTCGCTCTATGTAATTGACTAATTATAGCCTTTCTTGTATGGAGATCTGGGAAAGATAGAGGACTACAGTGCCACTGCTTCTCACACACAAACGCAAGCGTATTTGGAATCCAATGAAGGATGAGGTTTTTTTTACTCTATAGTCATCCTTCTATCGCCAAAAAAAGAAGCCAGCAAGAAAGCGATCATTTGCTTCATGTTCTTTTGCTGGAAGAAGATTTGGTGAGCAAATCGACTCTCTTCTCTTTGGTCTTCTGTTTAAGAAATATTGCTGCAAATTTAATATTATTTTTGCCATTCTCCTCATTAGTTTCCCTAAAAAAGGAAATTATATATATATATATGTGATAAATATCCCATTTTGAACTAGATATATACTTGATAGTGGATTATTTATGCCTGCTGCTCAAGTCACTTTTGATAGAACAACATTAAACTACCATGTTTACGTCTCTGTGGTTATGTTCTTATTCTTTATCAGATTTTTATTGTTATATTTATTAGTCCTAGGTTAATAGGTTAATCCAGTTGCTGTTTGATGCTCTCAAAGAGAGTGATTTGAGTCTTCTGTCATAACAAATTGATATCAGAGCTTGACTGTACTTGAGAGATTGGCTCATCCAATGAATCAAAACTTCTTTCTAACATTATTAAATATGAATTTGAGAAAGACTCTTGGAACTGAAAATAAAGCATTAGCAAGTAAATGGATTAGTGACTAGTTTACCTAACTTTCTAATTTTGTAACTAATTAAAGACCATTCTATATCTCTAGTTTTTGTTTTTTAGATGATTCCTATCCAGAGATCCAACATACTAAAAGTAGAATGCTAATAAAATTTAATCAAAAGTAATGATTAATATTCTCCATGTCATTAAAGGCAACCGATTTTTGCAAATGTGCTAAACTAGGACAATTTGATCATTTATTTATAACAATAAACCGCACAAATTATAGCTTTTGAAATATAAAAGTTCACCTGGCACGCTGCTTGACTCCATTAGCTGATAAAATATGAAGCATCATCGCCCTTGTTTTCCCATCTGGTTCAAGTCCAATGCTCCGCATTTTTGTGTACATTTGTTTTGCTAGGAGAAACTTGTTCCGCAAACAAAATCCTTGAACAAGTGCATTATAGAGGGAAGCGTCTAACGGAATACACTGTTGTATTGAAGACAAGCTAAATCAGATGTTGGTTATATCTAAATAAAGGAGAACATAAACACATAATACAGAAATACAAACATAGATTCATGTATGATATCTAGAATTCAAGATTGTAAGTATATGAGGTTAAGATGCGGTTACTAGAGCCACTGTTTTTATATGAGGAAGGGTCATTACTCATTACAGTTCTTATTTTCCTTCTCCCTTTGGGAGAAAGAAGACCTCTCTTTGGTTGATTCTTGAGTCTTCTCCCTTCTTCCATGGTTTTTGCTTTTTTTTTACAATCACTATCTTACTAGCCTGTTTATGATTGTTAATTGGGAATAAGGAGAGTTTATTTGCAAGTTGAATATAAACTATTGAGGTGAGAGTTTTCACATCCAAAATAAACTCCCAAAGTGACAATCTAATATCAGTCTATGATGCACCGACACTTATCCTCAAAGAGCCGTGCAATGTCCAATACATATCCGACAAGACACGCATCCGACACGCATCCGACACGTGTCAGACACACCGAAAATGCCTCTGATTAAAAAAATATTAAATACAAATTGGACACGCGTGTCTGATGTCTTAAATATTTTATGAAAATATGTTTAAATATAATTTCTTGTATTTAAAATTTTATTTATTTAAAATATAAACTAATTTTTTTATTTCATGTCCACAACATCAAATCAATGGCCCGCACTCAATACTCGATTCATCGAATATTCTTATTTTCATTTCTCTTTGGCGGGTCGCAACTTTGGTTTCACGACATGCCCGATGTCATCTCAACATCGACGTTTGATGTCATTGCAACATCGACATTTCAAAATCATTTCAACATCAAAGTCTGACAATGTCTTGGCATTGATGCTCAACGCTAGTAATTTATACACCCACAACTTAACAATTTATCTTTGTCTGATGTCATCTTAGCATCAACAACCAACACCCTCTCAACATTGATGACAGTCGCGCCCTCTTGACATCAACGTCTAACACTTACTGCATAACATCGATGTATGACTGTCGACAACAATGTCATCTGTTCTCTCGATGCCTGATACACGACACCAATGCCCGACTCTCGAAATCCTAATATTAATCAATTTAAGCACATATTCTAGTTAAATAACTTATTATTTCTAATTATTTTTAATATTATATTCATTTAATTTGTATATACTATTTTTAAAATATAAAATTATAATACCATGTCCAACCCATGTCCGTGTCCTCTATTTTAAATAAATAATGTGTCCCGTGTCCATGTCATGCCATATCCATGTCACCGTATCCGTGTCAGTGCATCATAAATCGGAACTCAATGGTGTACTACATATTGCCCTTGGCACAAATTTCCCTCAAAACTATCTCAAAGTGTGTCACTCCTTCCACCAATCTTCTGCATACCCCCATCGAGTAGAACCCTCGATGGATCAGCAAGGCTCAAAATGTTAATTATGAAATCCCAAGGCTCAAAATATTACCTTTGGTAAAGATTTGATTAGCTTTTATACACGGAACAGTTCAAAAAATTCACAATACCTCCGAAATTTTTTCCAATTCTGTCCACAATGATCCCCAGATGCAAGCTCTTATTAGTGATAAGTATGTAAAAGTGTCAGGGGTTTGCTTCTGATCAATCATATGTTGATAGATTTGTAAAGCAATTTCAGGTTTCCTTGCAGTTTCACAAGCTCGGATGACATGATTATACGATACGGTAGACATCTGCATTCCACTTTTTTCCATCTCCCATAAGAGCTGCAGTGAACGTTCCCATAACCCAAGTCTCTGACATGACATCAAAGCTATATTATATAACTGGAAGTATGACTGAGAAACCGATAATGCTCTAAAATTCTCAAATAGTAGAAGCGCGTCAGCATATCGCTTACTCATATATAGAGCACTCAGCAAAGCACTCCATGTATAAACATCAGGTGTCAACCCAGAAAGTTTCATGAGTTCATAGACCTTAAAAGCAAGAGCATCTTCCCCAGCTTACCCAAGACAACTGATCACTGAATTATAGGTAATTACAGTAGGCTTTATGCCACTTTCCAGCATCTTTCTAAACATGATAAGAGCCAAAGCCCACTTTCCATCTTTAGTGCAGGAAGCAACAATTGCCTTCATAATGTCCTCATCTGGTACCAATCCTCTGGTAATCATTTCATGGTAAGCATCGAGAGCTAGTTCAAGGATACCACACTGCACAAATGCGCTGATCAATAATGAATAAGTGATCATAGTTCCACTCAAGTTATTCTCCTTGAATTTTCTCCACATCCTCTCCGTCTCAACCCAGTTTTTAGCTTTCCCATAGATTGATATCATTGTATTATATACAACTATATCAAAGACATGCTTCGATACTCCCTCATCTTCAAATGAACTGAACATTTCCATGGCTGTGTTGCAACCTTTAGCACCAGCAACAGCTTTGAGTACCAAACTGTAAGCATGTCCTGTAGGAAGCCCCTTCCTTCTCATCTTCTCGAAAACTACCAAGGCATCATCAATTGACCTATTACGGACAAGACAAGCCAGCAAAGAGTTACAAGCATGTGCACCGGTTCTAAGGCCAGCAACATCCATAGAGAGATATAACTCTAGTGCACTTCTGACCTTGTTAGATCTACTAAGGCTCAAAATTCTTTTGGACAATATCTCTTCATCCCTCTCCTCTAAAAAGTGTATCTTAAGTTCAGATATCTTGAATCTACCATGAAGGTTTGAAGAGGGCACACCATCAAGCTCGTCAGGTATCTGCGGTTTACCAAATCCATTAACACTAAATCCCTCATTTTCTTGTCTATCCAAAACCACCAATCCAGTTTCTACTTTGCCAGCAAAACAAGAATGAAAGCTGGATTGTGCAACAAGACCTCCCCTTAGCAGAGTAAAAGGCTCGAGTAGACTCCGAAAAGCACTGCCACGGATCATTGTCACTACTGGCAAACAATCTGTGCGAAAAGATTCGCGAAAACTCCGCGGTTTAATCGAACCAAAATTTTCCAAGTCCTTACAGAAACATCTTACAACATGGTTTATATTTTTCCTGCTCGACTTGCTTTCTCCAGGTAAACCACAAGATGAGGGGTATATTGCATAGAAAATTTGAAGCATCTCCGCCATGTCTACTGATCAAAATTCCTCTTTTTTTTATCTCTGTATGAAGAAAATTCAGAGTTTCAGAAGAGACAATTTAAGTAGAGAAGCATTCGAATTAGGAGGATGCTAAGACCACTGAGTAAAAAGAACAAACAGTTGTCCGGCATCAAAGGAAATGGCATCGAAGAGAGCTGATACCTGTAAATCCTTATCTGAATTGTCTTTAACTCACTTAATGGAAAGAAAGTTTTATCCTTCCATTGCCCGCTTCATCCGCGTGGAACCTAACTGGAAATTAAAGGCTCGATTGCCTCCCAGAAATCGCCCGGAGTGAAAGCCCTCAAGCAATTTATAGTAGGGAAATTTACATACAAAAACAAAAACAAAGCCCTTACTACTTTTGGGAAACTTCACTTTATACGCCACGCCATAGCAAATTAATATATATAACTGTTGTTTATTTTTTTTTTTTGTAAATGTTTGAAAGTTTTATTCAGTTGTTATTATAAGTTGTATTTTTCATATCATATATATTATTTTACTTTAATTATAATAATTTTCCTATGATTTTATGGGCAGCGTAGATATAAAAACAAGAAGTATTGAAATTTTTTAAGTAATTGATAAATGTTAGCATAAATGAATTTTTTATGACCGTTAGGAGTTTGTTTTGCAATGATTTCATCAGTCTTCTAGACATGTTAGATTATTTTATGAATATTTTTCAGAATGTTTAAATTCTTAAATTTGAAGATATAAAGAATTTATAAGAATTTTACTTGAACATTGAATATGATTACATTTATATTCTAAGATTATTTTATTATAAATATCCGTTTACATAAAGCTATATAATATTTCTCAATTCTTTTAAAAGAGAGCAAAAGAGAGAATTTTAGAAGAAAAAAGAGGAGAGAGGAGAGCTATGGTTTGGAGATTATAGAGTTATTTTTATCCGTCGGTCCAATTTAAAAATTTGTTTGTCTAAAAATAGGCTACTATTAACCTACCTTTGGTTTCAATAATTTTGTGTATTTTGTATTTTATGAATTTTAATTTAGTCAAAATTTATGAAAAATGTAATATCTCTTTTTTAGCAAAATTCAATCGTGTAATTTTTAGTATGTTATAATTTTAATTATTCTACATATATGAATAGGAATATATTGAGTTTTCATAGGTTTTTTTGCATTTTAGGAGAACTTTCTAATTTGAAAATTTTAGGTAAATAGAAAATTTTGATAAATAATTATAAAATTCTCTTCATATGAGTATATGACATGCAAAGTTGTTACAATTTATCTACTGTGATTATATGTATGTGAAAAATAGCACACTATGTTTTTTTATGAATATATATATATATATATGATACAGTTAAATGAACATTTAGTTAATATCACTTGTTTATTATATTATATATGCTGTGAAATATGTATGATTTCTTTGGTGTTAGCATGCAGGATTATATACAATAAAAACATAACTGATAGTTGGATGTCTTATCTTTTTTATAGTGATTACACTTGATAAATTACTTGACATGAAATAATTTGCATTAGATATATGCTATGATTGATAAATGTATCTAATAAGATAGATAAAATTGATACAAATGCATTTGAATAGAGAATGTTTTTACTGCAAATATTATCCAGACAAAAATCATAGATATCAATGTCAAAATTGTATGATAGAAATTTGTCATTTATGCGCTCAAAAAATAGGCTTTATAGGTTTAGAAAAATGTATCCCATAGGATTTAAATATTATAATCATTCACGGTTATTAAAAGGTTATTATATTAGCAGAAATAGTGCATTAGTTCTTTGTAAGTGTTTCAATAGTGATAAGCAATATTTTGTTGATGTTAATAGAACATTAGTCACATATAAATTTTTAAATAGTAACAAAATCTATGCATTTTGCCTTAACGAGCGTAAGAGTATTAGAATATATATATATATATATATATATATATATAATTTTAATAAGTAGTAAGGAGAAGAGTGGATTATTGATCAAAGTAGTTGCTTTTCAGTTTTCAATATGTCTGGCCGCATGATATATTATATTAGGTTTTATTTTATTTTAATATATTTTTTAGTTTTATTTTTCATAGTCAAGAGCTAGAAGATAGACTAATGTATATATTGATTGAACTCTTGACTATTATATATGAATTTTGAGAAATGAATGCAGTTGATTATTTTGATGAATATGATTTTTAGTTTCTTTCATTGAAGATTGTATTACTTAAAAAGAGATTAGTGGCACTAGTAGATTAATTAACCGATAAATAGATAATTCTTTCAAAATTAGACCCTTAGTGTTCCATAAGGTCCTCAAAACATCGTTGCATGCCTATGGTCTCTCAACCACTATCACTCGACTATGATTCTAGAATAATTATCACTCAATTATGGTTACCATGACACCATCACCCCAACAATTATCATTTGTCTCTTGACAATAATCTTCAAACCACCATTACATGACTATTGGAACTCCAATCATTATCGCTCACTACAGTCCTCCCACTATTATCACCCAACTATGATTCCCTAACCACAATCACTTGATCATAGTCCCTCAACCATTAGCTTGACTTGTATATTGACTAAGTCCCCTAAGCACTATCACCTAACTATAATCCCTCGACCATCGTTGCCCGACTTAAATTTCTCAACCATCATTGCCCAACCATTGTCACCCTATTATGGCCCCCTAACCAACATCACCTAAATACGACTCTCTGACCACCTTCATCTGACTACAACTATCTAACCACATTTATCTAAGTATAGTCCTTCAACTACTATCGTATAACTACGATCCTTCAAATACATCAACACTCCCTGACTTTGTTGCCAAACTAACATCAATGCTCGTTGTCAATAACAAGATATATTAACTCTATGATTTATGCTGAACTTCTTAGTCTTTTGTTTCTCCATCTCAACGAGAACGACCAAACATACAACAAATGATCCCTTGAACACATTTGCCAAGTCACATGGATCTTTCAACCTCTAACAATCATCACTCGACTATGGTTACCCAGCCTCCATCATCCAACTATGATTCCTTAACCACATTCATCCAAGGCTCTTTGAACATTTGTTTCCTAGCTACAATCTCCTAACCACCATTACATGACTACAGACCTCCAACCATTGTTGCTCACTACATTCCTCCCGCCATTATCACCTAATTATGCTTCCTGGCCACAATCAGTATACAATAGTCCCTCGACCACTAACTTGACTCATATCCCAACTAAGGTCCCCTAAGCACCATGACTCGACTATCATATCCCAACTACTATTGCCAACTTTAATTCCTCGACCATCGTCGTCGCCCAACCATTGTCACCCTATTATGATCCATTAACCAATGTCACCTATTATGACCCTCTAACTACCTTCATCTGATTATAATCATCTAACAATTATTATCTAACTATAATCCTCCGACCACCATCGTTTGACTATAATCTTTCTAGCTAGCAAAAATCTTTAAAATGAAAAATATTTAATAAAATTTTGAAAATACAATGTAATGGAAGAAACATAGAATTAAACATGAGTGTGGCAAAGCTAAAAAAAAATCAAAAAAAAAAAAAGTTAAATAAAGATCTAATTGACTTAAGTGGCTAAATAAAAACAAGAGAAAATGAGTAAAATGAACTTTAACTTTATGTATTTTATTTTATTTTATCTTTTGCAAAATGAGTAACATGCACTTCATAAGATGCTCAATCAACAATTAATTTGTACATTCACCATTGCATTTTATTTAAAATAAAATAAAAAATAACAATTATCCTATGCTATTATGGTCAAAACATAAATTTAGTTTTCTCATTAGACATTACAATATGAGCATTAGTCACACAAATGTAATGCACAGTAGCGAAATAAACATCCAGAACCTATTCATCTAAGAAATTCAAATTCTCTCCAATTATCATGATAATTAAAGAGTACAATTAATAGATTTTTATAGTTTAATTTATTTTGAAAAACTGTCATTAATTCTAATTATTTTTTAAACTATCCAAAATCATTAAAAAAAAAAAACTGTAATCTAATAATATTTTTTAAGAAGAATACTCAAATGGAAAAGGCATCCCTGTCTTCCCACCCTGCATCAAAGTAGAAACTTTCAGAACAAACAATCCCTCACTTTGCTTAACAAGCTTGCTCTCTCCTTATCATCATATCAGCTGCAGAATCCAAATAAGCTGCAGAAAACTCTCACTTTTTTGTTTTCTTCTTCTGCTCGAGCAGATAGCATTAATTCAAGAGTAGACTGTTGAGGACCTTGCTTTGCATCATAGGAATGGCCAATCTGCTCAAACAAATAAGGTATTTTATCTCAAATATTCAAATAGTACTTCCAACAAGTGCAGTAAATAGCTTTCCTTTGGATTAAATGATTTGTTTTGCCAGTATGTGTTATGGTCATATTAAGATTTAGGTTTCGTTTGAAACAGCTTTCGCAGAGCTTCCTAAAACGGCTTTTTAGTATAAAATTTTTGTATTAGAAAGCAACAAAAAAGCTGTCCCAAACGAAGCCTAAAGTGACTAAAATTATGTTTTGGAGAATTTAAGGTAAATCTTACTTAAACCCTGCCTACAATAGGTTACCAAGCATCCCCTTAGACTTGATGAGAACTTGCTATTCAACTATTTCTGTGAATTTCTTAGCCATGGTTGAGTAAATACTACTTGTCATCATAGGGTAAAGTTTTCTGATGAAAGCCAAGAAGATGCATACAATACTCAAGAAGGAAGGATACCACCCCAGAAGACTCTGCCCTTCAAGAAAGGTACTTATATAGATGAATACTCTCTTCTTCTATCTCATAATGCATCAAATGAGAAGTCAAATTTAGGATCTTTTATTTATTGATTATATTTTTTCATCCCAGAATCCTTTGTTATTAGATTTACGTAACAAATACAGTTCTTCTTAATCTGTTGATTATGGTCGGAGCTTTGACTATCAACTAAAAAATCTTGGGTTCGATGCTTGCCTAAATGACGTGTATATGTTTGTCTTATTTGACTTAAATGTCCCAAAAAAGATTTACATAACAAGCTACCATTCCTATCGATTCTCTTTTTTTCTTGAGTTTTAGGGCTTCACCATTTCTTTTGATTACATGTCAAGTTGAGAAATAGTTTGCAAAATCAAAAGAAAAAAATTGACATATTTGGAGTCGAGTGAACAAACTTACAAAGTTCAGAACTATTAAGCTTATAAAGGATCCAAATAGAGCATGCAAACTGTATACATTTTCTGTGCAGAGAGGAAAAAGGCAACTTCCTGGTTCCAACGACAGTTCTCCGACCAAAAGGGTGGGGAAGATGATTCTGTTGATCTTGATTTCGGAGCAGCGATTGCAGCTGCTGCATATGCTATCATGTTGGCCGAAGAAGGACTTCTGAGCAAGAAGAAGCCAATTGATGAGCTTGGAAGCTCCCTGACCAGGAGCAAAAGCAGAAGGGAGGATAGCATGAGCAGTTCAACAGAAAACAGAAAAATTTCCAGATGGTTCAGTGCCAAACAAGAAGATGATGAGCATGAAGGCAGAGTAGAAGGTCAGTTTTCATTCTGTTACTTTTATTTATTTTTTGCTATGCATACAAAAATATTGAACTATTGATACATACATATTAAGGTAATAACTTCAAGAGGAAGCCATCAACATTAACTGAAAGAATGAAGCAAGAATCTGCTGCAGATCTGAAGATGAAGGAAAAGGAAATGAATTCAGCCCCGAGAATTAAAAAGACCCCAACTTTTTCAGATAAGTACCTAAATGACACAGGCAGCAAGCCTTTTGAAAGTGAACGAGATAAGCAGAGTGCTCCATACTCCAAAAAGCCCATGCCTTCCTATTTTAGCAGTGGATTTCCTAATGGTGGTGGAACAGAGTCAACTAACGGGCGAAAAAGGGCATACCATTGGGAGCAAGCAACAATGGAGAAAATAAGAAAAAGGTAATTGAATAAAAACAGGTTATTGGGATATGTCATTAACAGATCAACTGTTTAAATACTTGGTTTTCTGCAATTTGTTCTTGATAACTAAAAGTGTCCTCGATGTACTTAAATTTCAGGCATGAAAAGATGAACAACACAATTTTGCAATGGGAGAACGAGAAGAAGGTGAAGGCTAAACGCCGAATGGAAAGAAAAGAGGTTTAACTTGATTTACAAACTAGATTTGATCTAAAATCACCTAACCTTTCCTTTCAGTTGATCTGCTAGTGTTCACTAACAAAGGAACAGACCCCAGAAATTTTCAAGAAAACCCAAAAAGGAAAACATAGAACATAGAAGGAATGCAACGACTAAGGCTTCGTTTGGGATGGCTTTCTTACTGCTTATTAAAATAGTTTTTTAGTATAAAAGTTAAAATTTGTGTACTCAAAAGCTGTTCTAAGAAGCAATAAAGAAGTCGTCCCAAACGAAACCTAAATCACACAAATAATACAGCAAGAATAAACCAGCAAAGTATAATAGATTGTCACTTGCACTGTTTGGAGAAGACAGGATATTTAAATTAATCTAACCATAACCAGCTATTAATATGAATTTGTTAATGCTTATAGACGGTTCACTTTAATATACTTACTATTTTTATAAACAAGTTAAACCGAGCTTAAGTATTATTCATGTTGTGTGCTGTTAGTTTTCCTCCCTTACAAACTTCATGTCAGGTCCATGTTTTGACAGCGAAAGCTGATATGATACTTTATAAGAACAAAACGGAAGGCTAGAAGACTAATGCTTCGTTTGGAATAGCTTTTTTATTGCTTTCTAAAATAATTTTTTAGTCTTTGTACTAAAAAGCTGCTTTAGAAAGCAATAAGAAAGAGTCCCAAATAAATCCTAAGAAAAACCTCAAGCCCTCAATTCTATAAGCCTTTTATCTTCATAGATTAGTTCTCCGTCCATTTATAATATTAGGAAAGAGAACGAAATTTCCTTAGAAAATCAGAATATTAAAAAAGATTGACCACATTAACTACAATATCAAGTTATTAACTTCAAATAATGTAATAGTTTAATTTTACCTTAGCTAGAAGATTTTATTTGCTAACTGCGTATTAAAAATGGACATTTCAGAGGAAATTGGAAATGAAGCGCACTAAAATATTACAAGAATTCCGGGAAGAGATGAAAAGGATTGACATGATTGCTTCAGGAGCAAGAGCAGTGGCAGATGATGAGAAACGAAGGGCTGAATTGAAGGCAAAGGAGAAAGCAAAGAAGATGCAAGCAACTGTGAAAGTCCGCCGTAAATGTTTCTGTTTCTGAAGCTCAACAGAATGTAGTGAATTCCTCAAGCAAATAATAATTCATTTATATGAACACAACAATGGTTTTTTTTTTTTAATGTTTCATTGTAAAAATAAGAATCTGAATGCAACAAACAATGCTAGAAAAGTAGTATGTTTAAGGACTGTATATTCATTAACCTGCAAAAAAAAAAAAGAACTGTATTTTGCAAACTGACATATTAAGGATTTGTTTGAGACAATTGCAGCGTTTTATAAAGTTTGTTATAAAATTGTTTTTAAGGAAAGTAAGTTGACTGCTCTAATTGAAAAAAGCAGCTTTCGACCAAAGAAATTTATTAAAAGCAATCAAAAAGCAACAATAAATTCATAGCCAAATGGATTTATGATTACTATCTAAAAAGCAAAGCAAAGAAAAAACTGCCTCAAACAGACACTAACTTAGTAAGCCCAAAAATACTGAAGTCATGACATTCAACTATCCGCTGCAACTACTATGTTCGAAAGAAGAAGGATGAATAATGGCCGAGCCAGAGTTTTTTTTGTGAGGACACAAATTATAGATGGTTAAAATGTCTTCAATCTTTTTCATCCAAACATAGGTCTGACATTGATGGTTTTTATTTATTTATTTTGTTAGAGTTAGTATTATGAAAAGATAAATTAAATAACAAATGCATTTTAATTTACTTGAATATAATATTATAATTTTAAAAAATAAATTTTAAATGAAACATTTAATTTCATCTTATCAAAATATGAATTTTGTTTACATAAAAATATAAATAAAGGTTGTAGCCCTTAATTAGTAAATAGTTTTTATAAGTTTGCAAAATTGCCTTTAAAACTCCAGCATCAAATAAAAAAAAAGGGCTGATTAGAACTATGATAAATAATAAATCCATAAGGTTAGTTAGTTAACTGTAGCAAGTGAGCTCAATATGGCAAATCATTACCTGAACTTTGAGGAACAAAAATCTTAAGCATTGATGCATGGTTGCTTAAGTTTGCAATTACACTGTAGGTGGCTCATGGCTATTGTTCCAATTCTTTCTTCTTGACTTGCCATCGTACGCTAGGATGCTAATACTTGGATATTGGGACAATTCAGAACTAGCTTGCATGCAAAACCATGCCTTAGCTACTTAATGCATAATATATGTTCAATGTTGTAGAGCCTTTTAAAATCATCTATCATTGAAGACGGCAATTATAATTTGTAATTTAAGAGAGAGAGAGAATGAAATAAAGAATCAATTCATTAATAAAAGTTCAAATGACCAATACGTCCAAATAATAAGAATTCTTATACAGGTCAACATAAATATAAACAGAACAAAAAAAAGAAAGAAACTACCCAACTCTCATAAAATATAAACATAATAAACTACTACAAATATAATTTTAATATTAAAAACAATCTACTGTTGGTAACCATACTCCTGAGTAGGGGTTCCACCAAATACGCTGACAAGACCTGCAGAAAAAGACAACGAGTGAGATCAAGATAAAGTAACTCATATCAAAACATAAGCAGCAAAGTAATGAAGAAAGTAGTATGAATAACCAATGGGTGGAAGTAACAACCTAAAGTCACTAATTTAAAGTAATAATGACATATGTCATATTTCCTACAATAGAAATCTAATATGCTAGTGTCATTAATGTATGTGACAAACTACTTCCAATCTAAATTTTTTAATGCCCGTAAATGCAATTATACTAGTTATCATTATATCTCAAAATGACCTACAACCATTTATTATTTCCAATTCATATTTACTTACATATAAGCATGTATATCTATTGTCAGTTCATCATATACACATACCAGGAAAGTAAACATCACCCAAAGAAATCCAATGATTTTTGTAGAGTCGTCACTTTGGGGGCCCGTCAACCCCGACTAGCCAAAAACCAATAGAGTTATACCGACATACAACTAAATCATATAGTACAAGTAATGTTACGAATACACAATGTGTTATATAACTCAATATGACAATCACAATTTATATAACCAACATGATATATAACATGAGTATCATATACTGCAATAAATAAAAGTAATCTAATTTTGCCAAGAATATATTTATTGCATTCAAATAAGAGCATGCATGTAGATACAAAAATTTATATACATTAGGTTTTACAACAATAAATCAAGAATATTCTTTTTATGAAATTTGCTAATTCATTATGAGCAACATCGAAGATTTACTACATGATGATTTCAACGTGAGCCATAATAAGATCCCTGACATGCACAATACTAACAAATATTGGAAATAGAACTGAGAACTTAAATAATTATAAAAGAATTCTAATACAAATATCACGGATTAAACCCCTAATTATTAATGGTACGATTACACTAAAATAAACAACAGTTACTTACCTTTAGGTGAGTGATACAAAATTTCAATCCTATATGATATTCATCCGACAATGGCAATGACTCGAATGTCATATAAGAAATAAAATTCTAATATAATGATCAATAACTAATGCTTAAAAAAATATAAGGTTTGCTATTTTAAACTTAATAACCTCCATGCAAAGTTATTATTCAAGCCTAATTGATTTGGATTAAAATCCTAAATAATTTGAATCTATTAAGACAAAAGGAAAAATATAAAGCATATAAATTTTAATAAATTTAACTAATCAAAATCTTACTCAATTCAATCTATCAAAATATATAAGTTAATCATCATTACCAAATTCTTTAATTGACAAGGAAAATGATAAAGAGAAAACTTACATTAGAAGAAGGCGAGAAATATACTTCTTGCAAATGAGGATTGCTCGTTTGATGTCGGCAATTGAAGGAGATGGAAGACTGAAAACTTTCTCTAACGGTGGCTATGAGAGGGAGAATACAATGGCTACGAGAGAGAGAGAGAGAGAGGGAGAGGATAGGGAGGTTTGAGGCTACTGTTTGAGAGAAAGGAACAAAGAGGAAGAAACAGAAAGAGATTCGATAGCTACTGCAAAAGAGGAGGATCAAATTTGATGCCCAGATGCCCTGGGCCTCTAATTTGCCTATATAGCGAGAGGGAGGCAACAAGGTGGGAGAATTCGTCGAATAGTAAAAGAAATCACGAGATGGAGATCGGTCGATCGCGGGATGAGGCGAACGGTCGGATGGCTCTGGTCTTGCGCAAAGTGGATCGTGACTACCCAGTCGGTTTTCTTGTGCGAAGAGGGGAGTGGAGGAGTGGCCTGGTTTGCTCGAGTTTGTAGTTATGTGGCATGGTTTGCTCGAGTTTTAAAGTTGAGAATGATGCTAGAGTAAAGAGAGACGAGAAGAGGATAGAAGAAAAGAGAGATATGTACTAATTCTTCTCAATTTTCATAGTGAATTTCTTGATGCGGTGTGACTCCATGATTTTTTTCTCGTTTTTGAATTTTTTCACGTTAAATCTTAGTGTTTTTTTTTTTTTTGCTGCACTATTCTTTCTTGTTTATGTTCTCTATGTGATGTGGTGCAGCTTAAACTTAGAAGTTAGAACCTGTGCAGGTTCTACAGACACACTCGGTTTTCCAGCAGGACCACTTACACGTTCTTTTGTTCCCTTTTTCAATATTTGCAAAAGTACACAACTCATCTTAGCCTGGTGGTTGAGAGCTTAGGCTTCCAACTAAAAGGTCTTGTGTTTGAGTCTTTCTGTATGCATTGTGTGCGTTAGTTTGCCTTAAATGGCCTAAATGTCCAAAAAAAATTGCAAAAATAGTATTACCTGGTCACTACTTTCTGTTAGCTATCATTAATAATGTTTTCTTTTATACGTTAAGTCATATACATATAGGCTGTAAGAGGAGGAGGAGAACACAATAGAATATACACTACTTTTCCCTGTTCAATTGCCTTGTCTTCAGTTTTCTGTGCAGGTCTTCAGTTGCAGCGATCGAGCGGAGTTCTTCCTGCCAAGTTTCCACACCACTATGTGTTTTACTTCCCCAACACATTTGAATGGCCCGTCAGAAGAGCAGGTTTTGTTTATCGCATCTTGCATAAACTTCACCATACTGATAATTCATAATTCAGATTTCACAATGAACAAGGATAACTTACTTACACCATACCACACGATTTACATTTCATAACCAAGAAGGATTGTACAAGTTCTCTATGAAAATTCGAAGCAAATTAATAAAAATAATATGAACAAGCCTTCCCAGACCATTGCGTTATACAGTTCCACTCTTATTTGCTACAAATGAGAGCTGTTTTTACAGTATGCTTAGCATTAAGTAGTAGTACCGCCAAGCAGCTTAGCACAGGAATGCGACTAATGGCACGTCATAGCAGTGATGCTGATTTGGCTTCCTGGAGCGAAATGACGGTCTCGAAAGCGCCCACCAAGGCTTTCACCTTACTCTTCCTGGTTTCAACAAGCTTGCTTGCTGTTTCCTCAATTACATGATTGAAAAGAGCTCGAATCTCCTTCTTTCCCTGTGCATCTTCATACTTAAACATGCCAACTTTAGATTCTAGATTGGCTTTCTTCAACATGACAGCATGAGCTTCTGACTTATGTTCATTGGAGTCTCCTATGTCTCTCCTCCTCCTGAAGCTTCTCTTCGCAACTTCACCAATGGGATTCTCACCAAGGACTCTCCCTCTCCTGAATTTAAGCCTTCTAGGACCAACACTGTCAGCTGTTCGGAGTTCAATCACTTTGCCCCTCTTAAATTTCAACTTATAAGGAGAGGAAGAGCTGCCATCTGATTGCTGAACAGCTGGAGTTCTTCTTGCCGGTCTCTTGTCTTCTTCTTTGGAAGAAATACGTTTAAATTTCCTCAGGTTTTGTCCTTTTGAATGTTCACTAGCTTCACCAACAGCAGAATTAGAAGCATGTCCGTCAAGTACCTTGCTTAATTTATCATGAGGTTCCAGACCTTTGCCATATTTTTTTGGTTCAACAACTTTCAATATTTTCTCATTGAAATCACCATTATCATCTTTTGTTTTACCAGATTTCTTCAGTATTACATGCCTTCTGGATTTTCTTGCCTTCAAGCTCACACTACTATGGTCAGGTATAGTAGAAGAAATATAAGTCCCTTGAGGCTTCAATAACTTCGTCTCCCAATCTTCAGGCATCTCATTAGTTTTTAGGCATTTTTCCTCCCGATTCATCCTACCATTTATGCTTCTAGAAGTATTCAATTGAGGTATTGACATCATCATTGGAGTCCTCACATTCAAATATATTGCAGGAGTAACAGAACCACTTGTCTTTCTGGAAGGAAATGAAGCATTTTGATTATTACTTTGAAGCTTAGGAGATGCAGATTGTTTCCTACTAACTATCTTCTTTGGTTTGATCACTTCGAGTGCTGTCGATGTAGTTGGTTCCTTCGGGTTTGACAGAACCTTCTCCTCAGAGATATTTGTGTTTCTTCTTGAATCAGCTTCGGTGGAAGCTGACGAGTTCTTCAGTTTGACAATGTTGCTTTTTACATGAGTGGGTTTCAACATTGATGAAGCATTCGGTTTATTTACCTTTCCCTTGTTCTTGCTACGATTCAAAAATCTCGCATGAATTATTTCATCATCCGGAAGTTCTGGGAGATTCACTTGTGGGGAAATTTCAATGCTTTTACTTCCAAGTAAAAGAGCTCCTGAGTCGACATTGATATTGTTCTCAGTTTCTTGTGGAGAAATTTCATTGCTTTTACTTCTACCAAGTAAAAGAACCCCCGAGTCGACATTGACATTGTTCTCAGTTTCTTGTAGGCAAATTTCATTGCTTTTACTTCCAAGTAAAAGAACCCCTGAGTCGACATTGTTGACATTGTTCTCAGTTTCTTGTAGGGAAATTTCATTGCTTTTACTTGCAGGTAAAAGAGCCACCGAGTCGACATTAATATTGTTCTCAGTTTCTTGTCCGGAAATTTCAGAGCTTTTACTTTCAAGTAAAAGAACCCCCGAGTCGACATTGTTATTGTTCTCAGTTTCAATAATCTCCGTGAACTGTAGCAGAGCTTTCTCGTCTTCTTCAACTTGTGCTCGAATATTCTGCTCTGAAACTCTAGGAAGAATCTCCTTCTCTAAAGATTCCTTGCTTCCACCAGGTGGTGAGTGAGCCTCTGAAGCAACGTTGATGGACCCAATTTCCTTACCTAATGATGATCCAGCATGCTGCTTCCAGTCTTCTGTAAGAATGAACTGCGGAGAAGATATAGCTCTTTGATGTTTGAACAAGGGAGTCAAAATATCAGTTTTTACAGAGTTATCAGATATCCCAACTTCATTTGGTTGAATATTTAGCTCCAAGGCTTTGGTTGTATCAGAAGGCTTCATCTTTATCACCTTTTTTTTCGTTTTATGGATGGCAGGTTGACCTCTCAGAAGATCTTCCACAGTTTCTAAAGCAAATCTATTTGCCATGAACCTTCTGAAAGTGAGACGTTTTTCATCACGTTCAGGCTCATGCTTCCCCCCATACTTGCATAAATTATGACATGAATCCGTCGGTTCTCTGAGATACCGAGAGCGGACATAGCCAAAACTATTTGAACGGGACATTGCATGACTACATTTTGTCTTTGCCCCATCTTTTGAGGCGCTTATTTCTTTTTCCACGAATGCTTTTTCCATTGGAGAAAGAATAGGCTTAGAACTTCATTAGTAGGGGTGAAGGATTCCAACAGAAAGATAACTTGAGCCCTGCAATGCCAAAGAAAGCACACCTGTAAGATTAGCAGAATGGGAGCATATTGTAATAGTATATGACTATCATTCGAACTAAAAAGAACAGGCAAGAAGACAATGGAAACCTAACAGGACAATCCTCCATTAATAATGGTTTAGATCAAAACAAGGAGATATTCAAGGAGGAAAAACAGTTCTGGCATGTAGAGTTCTCATCTGCTTTCATTTGATTAGAGTAAGCTGAAGTTAACATTACATGAAGTACTCCAGAGATTGAAGGAAGAAGAAGAATTCATAAAGCCAGCCGAAAATAGATGGGACAAAGCTAATAATGATGATCAACTTTCACTGGACGGATTAAAGCCTATAAGATCTATACAAGCAAAATATGTCGAGGTCAACAGAAGCAAAATACAAGAGTCCTGCGGTTCTTTAGGCATCCACATATGGAATTTTTCAACATATTGAAAGCATTTAAATGGCTTCCAAATCATACTGAATTATTGATATTATACTAATTTGAGAAGAAAAGATGATTCTGAAAAGAATGCTTCAGCTCCTCTTCCATTAAGCACTAGCTGACAGACCTAGCCTGCATACTCTGTGGAATTGCCGCCACCTTCTCTGCTTTAGCAGCACCTCTTTCTCACTTTATGTAACTAACTAGGGTAGTTTAGTCTTTTACATATCTACCTGCTATGTGTATATACACTAGTTTATTCTACAGTAAAGTCATGAGAGAATGCTTTACCATATTCTGTTTCCACTTTCTACTCTTTTCACTGTTTCATCCGTTTGATGAAATGCACGGTGGTGCTCAATCTCTCGGTTTTCACATGATATCAGAACCAATTGCCTAACGGCTCTTCTTCTCTACTTCAATGGGAGACTCAACAGCTGCTTTCGCCCCATCCACACCGCAGGCATTGACGACCGACACACCAACTCCCATCGATGTCTAAGTCCCTCCTACCCTTAAATTTCTACTCTAATATCATTATCCCACATGACTATCCACTATTCAGAAGTTTTTTGCTGCTAACAACTTCTCCTGCTATCTTGACGGTAGTCAACCATGTCCACCCAAATAGTAAATACTCATAGCCACCGGCCAACTTACACTCAACCCTCAATTTTCTTCATGGATTCTTGTCGACCAAAATCTTTCGGTCGCTCTATTCTCCACACTATCTTCATCTATTCTTCCATACATTCTAAACCTCGACATTCTGCGCCAATTTGGAAGACCCTTGAACGCCTGTTTTTCTCTACCAATATGTCTCGTGTTGTTCAATTGAAGAACGAGTTCCACTCGTTACCTATGCACAACAAATCGATGACTGAGTATTTGGCTTCGGTTAAGACCTTGGTGGACAATATAACTACTGTCAGCGGATCAGGGGACAATGAAGACATCTTGCTTTATATTTTAAATGGTCTTCCTCCTTATAAGTCATTCAAAACAGCAATCGGAACCTCTCTCCAACCAATTAACTTGGATGAACTATACTCTCAACTTCGCAGTGAAGAGGTAAATTAAGCTACTGATGCTGTCAAGGAGCTATCGTTTTCCTCTGCTACTTCTCCACCTGACTCAACGTTCGCTCTCCTATCCACTCAAGGTTATGGTCAAACTCATTTCTCCTACAATAGTGGACGTGGTCGAGCCCCTCCTTTTAGCAACAATCGTTCCTCCAGGCAACCCCATTTCGATGGAGACTGTCAAATTTGCGAGAAACACGGACATTCCGCACTTACTTATTGGCATAGAGGCAACTTTCAGTACATTCCCCCGACCTCCTCGACCAACGCCGCTCTTCTAGCTAACTCCGATCCTGCCCCTTGGTACTTAGATAGCGGTGCTACCACCCACCTTACGCCAGACACTCTCCCACTACAACAACCTTATGCTGGCAAGGATCAAGTGCTTGTTGCCAATAGTGCTCTTCTTCCCATACAATACTTCGGTAACGGTTTGCTACCAGCACCTACTCGAAAGCTCTCCCTCAATCCTCTACTAAATGTTCCTAAACTAACCCACCGCCTGCTCTCCATATCTAAACTTATCAATGATAACCACTGCTCTATTCTATTTGACAACTCTGGCTATCATGCTAAGGATCGGATGACCAATCGCACTCTTCTCCAAGATCCATGCCATAATGGCCTATATCCAGTACCGGTCCAACCATCTCCCACATCCATTCTTGTCGCCACAGCTACCATTGAGGCTTCCTCTCTAGCTCCTACATGGCACCCATGCTTAGGACATCCCAATTCAAATGTACTTGTTGTTTATCGAAGTCCTTTCCTAATTTATGTATTCTTGTCTCTCATAGCTTTTGTAATTACCGTGAATTAGCTAAAAGTCACAGTCTTCTCTTCTCTCATTCTCAACATGTACTTAGTCGTCTCCATTAGAATTAATTCATGTTGATGTTTGGGGACCTTCCCATATCTTCTCTTATGATGGTTTTCGTTATTACTTGCTTTTGATAGATGATTCCACACGCTACTCTTGACTATTTGTCCTCAAACAAAAATTTGATGTTCCCCAAACCATTATCCATTTTAAAAATATAATTGAAAAACAATTAATTTACCTATTTGAACCCTTTGAACTGATGGAGGAGGCGAATTTCTCAAGAATATCTTACGCTCGTTCCTATCCCATAACGGCATCACACATTAGTATACTTGCCCTCACACTCCCCAACAAAACGGCACTGCCAAAAGAAAACATCGCCATCTCTTAGATACGACTCGCACATTGCTTATTGATGCCCGTCTTCCATCTCAATTTTGGACCGAAGCAGTACATACAACAGCTTACCTCATAAACCGTCTTCCCTCATTAACCACCTCCTCTAAATCTCCATATGACTCTACAGCAAAATAGGACTTTTGCAATGCATTCTTAACAAAGCTTACTTGTGTTGATTCTAGGATTGATAATTTCAGTCAAACCATCCTAAACTAATCACAATGACCATAGGCTAAGCTCTGCAGGAAGAGCACGTGAATCTTAAAGATAGTTAGTATTAAATGCTTTTTGATAATATGTAAAAAAAAACAGTGGATTACTGTCGCCTGATGAACCCTAATACCAAGAAGTAATGTACAAATGAAACAAATTATATGCCTAGCTGAAACTAAACCTGCAAACTCTGGAATCAATCCATAACCACTGCGACAAAGCAAGCCATGATCACTTACAGAGCGCTTTTGATAAAGGCATTTTTATCTATTATATTGAGAAAATATGAAGAACTTCAATTTTCTTAAATTCAAACTTTCAATAGAGGAATACGAAAATGCTTAGAGGCTGATGAGCTGCCTTCGAAGAAGGGATAAAAAACAAACACATTAAGAAAACACACAAGATCAAATCATCATCTTCCAGAAGTAATTACTATTAAGAGCGAAAATTACTTAATCAAAAGAAGCCGATAGCCTTCTAGAAAAGTTCTCACAAATGAAAATGACAGGAACTGCCAAGATTATCACTTGAAATCCATTAAACACCATAAACCAAACCCTCAAGATCTACCCTTCCCAAGATTTCAAAAGGAAAGCATCGCTCAATCGAAACCCGATTCATTCCAAGAACAGACGCAAGATCAAAAACCAGCCTTTAGCATCAAAAGATCATACCTTTCCTAAACCATTGAAAAAAGCACAACCACATGTCGAGATCCACGCAATGAAATCATTAACTCACACCGATTCCAGAAAATAGGCAAGGGATAAATAATAGTCAAGGTGACGCCTTTCGGACGATTCCCTTAACGAGAAAGTGAAGAAATGGGTGTTCATTTGAGGACCCCAAACAGTGTACAAGACAAGGCCCAGCCTCCTCCACCATCTCCACCTTCTTCTTCCCCTTCTCTTGCAGAACGTGCAAGCAACGAAGGAGCCCTTTATTTTCTTGGAATGGCCGAATTTGTGCCAGAGTTTTGAGAAAGGAGGCTAACGGAGAGCGCGAGAAATGGAGGGGAAAGTAACGGTTCGGACTTCATAAGATCCATGAAATGGTTAGGACTTCGGTTGGTTAGCTGCCAATGATTTTGATCCGCCAACGCTTCTTGCCCGAACTTTGTCTCTGTTCGGTCCAAAATTAACTACGGTTGTTCTCATCTCCTTCTCATGGCGTGTATGGTTTGGACACCGTTTTACGACCCAGCTTTAGAACCTTACGGATGGAGAGGAGGTGGAGGGTGCCGTTGTGGGGGAAGCTTTTATATTGTCAAGGGGTTGGAATGATGGAAACACGGAATTAAGAGGACTTTTTGGTTGGCAGGTTATCATTAGCTTAATTTAGTAGTAATTACGAATGTTTTTTGTTTTAAAAATATTTAAAGCAATAAATAATTTTAAAATATTGAATAATAAATATTAAAAAAATGATAAAAAGGAAGTGTGGTCTTTCGCTTTTTGCCAAGCTTCATGATTATTATCAATTTTGATCAACTTAGAATTGGTTTGAAATATTTTTTTTACTAATTTTTACAACAGTTTCTTAGAACAATTTTTTTTTTTTTGGAATAACAAAATTAATGGTTAAAAGCTGTCACAAATGAAGACTTAGGCTTCATTTGAAGGAAAATTGTTACGTACGGTGTCTGGATTCGTTTGGAGGCGAATTCAGATGCACCACACCACCCGGGGCCCGGTGCATCCGGATGACGTGGCGCGTTCGGATTCACCTCCGGATTGTCCGGACACCGCACGTAATAATCTTTGTCGTTTGAGACAGCTTTTGTGTTGCTTTCTAAAATGACTTTTCAGTACAAAAATTTCCGATTCACGAAAAATTTATACTAAAAAATTATTTTAAAAATCAACAAAAATCTCAAACGAAGCCTAATAAAAGAAAGGATAGTTTTGAGTGCGTCGCATATTGATTTTAACTTTTAAGTCAATTAAAATTGTCAATAAATATATATAAGCATATTTAATTAAAAATTAATTTTAAAACATTCAATTTATTTTAAAAAAAAAGTGTGATATAAAATTTGTTTATTTATTATATTCATCTAAAATCAATTTTAAAACTTATTTATTTATTACATTCATCTAAAATAAATTTTAAAATTTATTCTAATACATTTTAATAAAAATATCTTAATTTTTTGACCCACGTCTAATATCTCTTCATATCAAAGTCCTCTCATATAAAACTATCACTTTCTTTAGACATTTATGTTAATTAAGTCAAATTCACACACATCACATACGTAAAACTCGAACCTAAAACCACTAAGTTAATAGCTAAAACACCCGACCAACAGACCACAATGAGCGGCGTATATAAATCTATTCCTAAAAGCAATAATATGCATGCATTGAATTGTCTTGTACTAGTGAAATGTCTTGCATGTGGCTACCTCTTTCTCTATGCAATCAACACTTGATAAGAGTGCTATTAATATAAATCAACAAATATGGGTCTAATATTTAAGAGAGTGACTTGGTTATATAGGCATGAAGACTTTTTTTTTTTTTATTCAAAATGCGACTATGGGAGAGTGCTTTCCCTTAACAATGGGAGCATTTATGGTTAAAGGTTGAGGATGTTTTAATAATAGTCAAAATGGAGATTGTGAAAGAGCTATGATGTAGTACTTAAAATATTATGCTTAACTATAATGCCCTTTTTTTTTAATGATTATATTTTAGATTTAGTGATATGAGATCCATAATGGCATTGAGTCAAGAACATCAATCATAATTGTGTAGTTGATTAAGTATGGGATCCTTGCATGGTGATTCATGCATGTGAACAAATAAGATTTGTTAGAATTCAGGGATAGCTTAGGAGTTAGGGCTCAACAACCCAAAGTTCTTAAATGAATTTATTTAAAAAGTCTGAAATTTTTGAACCGTGGCGTTCGGCTCCGAGATTTTTAGCGTCATTTTGAAAAATATTGTTTTATATAAATTTCTCTCTACCCAGCCCATTTTTCCCTCTCTCATCTAGCTTGCTGGGTAAGGAAGGGAAGGAGGAAAAGGGAAGCCAATAGAGAAAAGAAGTGAGCTTTTCGTCGCAAATTCTTTTCACTGCTTCTAAATAGTTTATTCCATCATCATAGGTGACTTCAATTATATATATGTTTTTAAATATTTTGATTCTGAGATTTATTCTTCTATCTAAATCAATACTTATTGCATTTTATCCTTATTTAGTGAACTTCTACCACATCACTTTTGGTATATTGTAGTACTAAATATTATTGACATTTTGACTGAAAGATATCACATTTTTACTAGTTGAAATATTATTTATTTTATTTTGTATGATTTGAGTAAAATATTTGAGTTTTTTTGACACGGTTATACTATTAATGCAAGCACTTTGAATGAATACAGGTATGTGAATAAGTAATCTATGATCGCTATTAATTTTACAATTATCACTACAGGAAAAACGCAAAAAATAGGAGGTTTTTTCCGGCAGTTAGGAAGGCAAAACCGGCGGTTTCTCGGCGGTTTTTACGCCGCCGGTATAATTGGCGTAGGAAACTTTTATCAACGGCTTAGTACCGGCGGTTCTGTTAGGCGGCGGTTTTCCGGCGGTGTATACCGCCGGTGACTATGTATGTAACAACAAGAAAGGTTGATTTATTACTGTGGTTAGCTGGAAACTTTTTTATACATGCTTATGATGATGGACCGACAAGCTTTTCTTTAAATATTGTGATTTGTGGTGATATCCTCTACTAGTTCACATGATGTATTGATTTGGAGTGAGAAAGAGAAATTACTATGCCAACAAGTAAGAGTAATGACTTTGATTACTGAAATCCACCTGAATATTATACTGAGAATACTCAATGGAAAAATGTCACGCAAGCCAAAATTCATTACTTATTTAATATGACTGTAATATGTACATAAGATATTGGTTCATTATTAATGATTAACTATTTTTGAACATGTGATTAAGATATTGATTTGAGGCTCATATAAAATAATTGAATATCTATATGATTTTTGATAGTATTGCATTATCATATATTTCTGTCAATTTTCATAGATACTTCTGCTTTACTGGTTTATATAATTTTAATACTATTTAGCTAATATTGAAATGACGTTTGATTTACGAATGATGGCTAACATTCTTATCATTTTAATACCCGTACTATATTGTTTTATGGGCTTTACTGTTACCACATGTGTTTTACTGTTTTTGCACATACATAGATTCATGGTCATATTGATTGCTAACTTTTTGAACTGAATGATTTCAGCGTACTATTTTTTTTTCGTACTTTGAGTTCAATAATAGAGTTTTAGTGACCTGCTGGATTTTATAAGCTCAATTTATATGATTTAAAAATTTCATGTCAGGAAAGAAGTTCGAGAGTGTAGGCTGATCAGATTCAAGATTTTTCAGGTTTTATTGTTAGTGAAAAATTGAATAAAATTATGTTTGGTTTAATTTCCCTTCTAAAAATCATGACCTCTCTCTCTCTGCAAGCAGCCAGAGAGCATGACTCACGAATCATGATCTAGGAAGGAAAATAAGAAGAATCTGCCACAAGGTGGAGGTGCAGTTGCCAGGAGGCGGCTGACTAGAAGAGTTAGGTGTTGTTGCCGAAGCAAGAGGAACTGGTGGTGGAGCTTGGTCAAGACAACAAGATTTTATTCAATATCCATCTTCCTCCAATAATTCTCAATAATTGGTATCAAATCTTGGTTTGAAAGATCAAGAGAAGAAAGGTGTTTCTTGTAATCAAGAAAAGGAGCAAGTTTGGAGAATGGTGAAGGGAAAACATTATTTTGTTCTATTATAGATTTTGTTTTATTTTGTTCATGAAATAAAGAAGAGTGATGTGGAAAGGACGCAATCATAATTGTAGTATACGACTGTGCTTACAGTGGATCAAGAACCCCGAAGCACAAACAAACACCGCCAGTCTTTCTTTTACTAAGTTGGATCAAGTTAATATTTGGGCTCGGTTTAAGTTGAATTTGGTGTTGTAGGGTTCGTATTTTCGAGATGTTCAACTCAAAATTGCTCAAGATTCATGTTTGATCATGATAAATTTTTGATGATATATCAATAATAATATAAAAAGTTGTGATATTTTTATCAATAAAACTCAAAATATTATTTTGCTTTTTTTACACTTATTTTTTTCTCTTTTAAATACTTTTTTTTATTAATTTAAAAAATTCTATAACCACTTACAAAAATATTTTTTTTTACTAATTTTTAAAACTCTGTCAATGTGTACATTGTGCTTGGACAATTATGCTTATCTTGTTAAAACTCTCTTACATATACTATTAATAATTTCATATAAAATTTTAGGGAAAATAACATAATTATTATGCAAAACATATTTCTTTTTTAAGAATGATAAATTAAACCTTAAAAATATTATATTCCAGAGTTTTGATGAGGATCGTGGACATTAACAAATTTAGAGTGTGAGCATTAGGGCATGTACTCTCATTAGCTCCACATACTTAAGTTTCGTTTGGGATGACTTTTTTACTGCTTCATAAAGCAGCTTTTTAGTAAAAAAAATTAATTTTTGAACTAGAAAGCTGCTTTAAGAAGCATTAAGAAAGCTGCCCCAAACGAAGTCTTAGTTGTTTTATTAAGTGAGACTTACCCCTCCATTAGAGCTGTAAGCAAATTGAGCATTCAACAAGTTTTTGGTGGCTCGGCTTAATTAAAGCTCGTTCATAATCGTTTGATTAAGTAATCAAATAAATATGAACCTTTAAAAAAAAAAATAATCCATGATTAAATGAGAGAGCTTGAACAACAATGAGTTATACTGGTTTATATTCGTGAACAACATCAAGTAAAACTCGTGAACATACTCGATAAGCTTGTTTTGTGTTCGATATGGAGCTTGTGAGCATGTTCGTTAAATAATAGATTAATTTATCAATTAATAAATTATAAAAATTAATCAAATATTATAATATATATTATTAAATAAATTATTATGATCTATGAATTGATTTTATATTCTAACATATAATTTAATCACTAATTAACATAGCATTCTCATTTTTTTATACTATTTTTATTTGAGCCACAACTTAAGCTTGCAAATCGGACGGACAACAGCCGTTTACGCCATGTTACGCGCGCCCACACAAAATCTCGGATTGCCCTAATCCTCTTCTGCCCTTACGCCGCTCGCTCAACCGGTGCTCGAAACACTCCTCCTTCCCTACGCCGTTCGAGCCCGACTTCTTTCCGACGCCGCTCGTGCCTGAATTCCTCCTCTTTCTTCCCTAAGCAACTCGTGCCGGAACGCCTGCTCCTGGAAGATTACGGCTGCAAACGAAACTTATCAAATACAGTACAACACCCTTAGATTCAGCGAGAGCCTCAACTGTTTTGAGCAAATAGGTGAGCACGTTGGATTGGAAGGGATTTTCTCTTCCTTATTCTCGATCTTTTGAAGTGGAATGATAGGATCGGAACTTATTAGAATGAACTAAGTGATATGCTTAATCGTGGAACTCATAATTTTGTTTTACTGCTTGATGTTACTTTTGAGTTCTACAGGTTTTCCTATTTTTCGGATGCTAAATGTTTTACTGCCTGATGTGTCTTAAGTATGGACGGCTAAATATTTCTTGTTTCAACTTGTTTCTGTAGATTTAATTTAGGACTTTTCTGTAGATTTAATTAAGGTATGTTCTAATTTAGGTTTGTTCTGTGGTTTTAATTTATTTGTTTTCATTTCAATGATTTTTTTGAGAATGTAGTTTATGGATCCTCTACAATTGTCATAAAATGTTACAGACGCAGTTGACGCCTCTTATATAGCGGGCTTTGATATTACCTTTACTATGCGACAGTTAACTGTACAACTAGGAAGATATTATTATGCTTACATGTGTTAATCCGCTTGTCCATGTACTAATTTTAAAGATGGATAGTTTAAGATTGTAGGTTTTCTTCTCGAGATTCCTATAGAGTATGTTCACAAGCTTTACATGATGCTGTTCATGAACATAAACAAGTGAAACACATGGTGGTTCATTTATTTATCTAGTATTTAAAAAAATCCAAGCTTGTTTGATTACTTAATCAGACGATTATGAATGAGCCTTAATCGAGCCGAATCACGAGTAGCTTGTCAAATGCTCGGTTTTCTTACATCCCTAATCATTGCATATCAAACCATCATCATGAAAACTAACTTGACATTCATATTTGAATTATTGGAACCTGCATCTTCGATCATATATAAGGCATTCACCTAATATTCAATTTTTAGGGAATGTTGATAATCTCACTTGTCTAAGCACCTAGGAAAGAGCCTGGATTGTCCTTACAACACTATCAAATCCTCTTACCAACATTTTTGGCACTTCTCTTTCTCCAACTGAACTAAGATCTAGGGCTCTAACACAATCCAAAAAAGGCAGAAATTATAGTATCATCTAACCAAAGATCAATGCAATGTAAAAACAATGCTGAGAAATCCTACCTTCACTATGAGTTTTATCTATGTTCTCTTAACAAAGGAATTCAAATGCTGATGATTGACACATAGAAAATCACACCATACTGCACATATTGAAAAAAAAATTATTCTTGGTTAGTAACATCAAAATATATAGTTATTATTGTATTCTTTATAATTCAGGTCTTAATTTATGAACTACATTGCAGGAACCTAATCCTTAGTAAATATCACAACTAATTATAAGACTGTTATTGATTACTTAAAACATTAGACTGATAGGGTGGAAGAGTAAAGGACTATGAGCTTCAAGACGTCCAAAAAAACTGAAAAACAAAAAGTAAAACTAGCATCTAAAGGTGACAAAAGTTGCTAATAACAGCTGAAATAAGAAAATCACAAAATAATGAATCAATTCATAACTGAGGCAAACATGTACTTTATGTCTTGAATTAAATTTTTAGCCATTTTTTGTTCTGCTCAAGCTTGATTCAAACCATTTTGATATGGTTCCTAGTAAAAAATTTTATTATAGGTATGGTTCTACATTAGAAGGGTGTTGGCTCAATGGTTGTTTTAGTGTTAATAATATGGGAATGGAATAGAGGGGGTAACATGAAAATAAACAAGTGTTCATGATGGTCATAATTGTTTTATCGCAGTCTATGTAATTTATTTATGTTAATTGTAATGATTGTGTTATCCTCTTATTTGTCTTTATGTTGACTGTTAAAGGAAGGTTAATATTCTTTTATTAAGACTTGTGTGTCATTTAATAGTTTCTTTAAGACTTTATCATAATTATTACTTACCCTAGAAACCTTTCCCACTAATTGAAACCTAAAGGTTTTGTAATAGGACCATTGAATGAAGATTTCAGATTGTTATTCCTTTCTCTTAGTTGTTTGTGAATCAGAAGTTTGCATTAGTGACACCAATTATATTTGTAGGTAAGTTATTTAATCATAATATTGTATATTGCAAATCTCGTAAATCCTGCCGTCAAATTATGTTCCATTTTGGTAATTAATTAACAGAATGTAACATTATAATGTTACATTCTATCAAACTAGAATATTTTATTTGACATTGATAATTTTTTATAGTGTTAAATTAATTCTCCATGTTTTGTTTATTGTTCGGCTTTGCCTGCTTTGCTTGTTGCGAAGTTAAACATGTTTGTTTTTCCTCTTTTCCATGTCTTCGTTGTTGTTCGACTTTATGTATAGCTATTTGCTCAGGCTGTTGTCGTCGAGACCTCACCTATAGAGGTGAGGAAAAGAAAAAGCAATCTTTAAATCTTTTTGTGCCTTCTTATCCTCCTTATTTGAAAATTTTAATTTGTGTTTGTTTGATTAGAGCTCAAAGCGAGGAAGCTGGCGGCTAAGATGGGTGAGTACTAAGGAGTAAGAAAGCTAGTGTACTTATAATTAAATTGAGGGTATCAACGAAAAGAATCCAACACATCTAAGCTTAGTTCTGGCATCCTCAAGACACTCAAACATTCAAAAAAAACTTCATGATTAAGAGTATTAATGTGGGTAATCTGATGATGTGTTTTAAACTTTAGCTACATATATGAAAAGTGCTACTCTAAAAAACTTAAGCAAAATCTAAGAACAAACAGCTCAACACACACACAGACATAGTGCTGAATGCAATGCACAATGTACATGCAGATGTCTCGGAGCCTTCTCATGTATCCACTTCCATTTATATCTCTACTTGACCCTCTCGCATCTATTCATAATAGATGAATAAATACATGAACATATACATATACATAGGTGTACACGCCTACACATAACATAACATAGGCATCCCTTTTAATACATTCCTTTCTCCATACATATCTGCTAGCGCATGAATATGACATGTAAATGGCAACACATGAACATAACAACTTTCACAATTTTCTATTGTAGAAATTATATTTGATATGATACATGATTACATGAATTTGATAACTTTAAAATTTTCAACTTATACAAGCCCCCTTTCAGATGATAATCGAATATGTGAGTTCGTCAATGGGACATGGCAATATCAACTTTTTTAACACCTATGAGCCACATTTAATATTCATACATGAATACATAAAAGTAACACATATAGGACTATTTCAATAGTACCCATAAGTAAAACTTGTACACATAGCTCAACAGTGATAAATTAGAAAATCATTCATTAGGGACATTGACATCATCATTTTGCAGCATATATTGAATTGTAGTAATTACTAGAAATGTTAGCATTATTGAAAATTTACTTGAGAAAGTGTTCAAACCAACCACCTGGTAAAAAATTACTTTTTCTTATCAATAAGACTAAAATATTCTATTCTACAATATAACAAAAGTTACACAGTGAAACCTTTCTATATCTTTTTGTTAAACACTTTTTATATTGACCCTAATCAAATATAACCAAAACATTTACTCACATACTCAGCCAAATTGAAATTTAAAGCTGGGCATATGTAATCTACCTCGAGATAAGCACTTTTCTTAATTAGCTCGATTAACGAACCTAATGATGTCTCCCCCAAATCCATGTTTTTTCTCTTTCTCTATGTTATTTCTCTTCTCTTCTCCCTTCTCTTGATACTCACTTGACTTAGGAATAACAATGATTTTTATTTAATGCTAGAAGATATTTATATAAAAACTTTGAAATAGACCTAGCGCAACAATGCTCCAATTTACATTGTCGTAGTGCTCCAAAAGGAAGATTTGATTTTAGTAGTTTCTAATGAACATAAGCCTTAATGTTGTATATTTCCCTTTAGCACCGAAACATTGCACTTTACAAAGCCACAGTGCTCCAGGATGATTCTAAGTTTATTCTTGTAAACCTTCCATATGTTTTTGTTAAACCTAGCTTATATTGACCCTAATCAAATAACCCAAAAATGTACTCACATACTCAGGCAAATTGAAATTTAAAGTAGGGCATCTGTAATCTACCTCGAGATAAACAGTTTTCTCAATTAGCTAGATGAATGAATCCAATGTTGTGGCCCTCAAACCCATGTTTTTTCTCTTTCTCTATGATCTTTCTCTTCTCTCCTCCCTTCTCTTGATACTCTCTTGACTTAGGAATAACAATGATCTTTATTTAATGCTATGAGATATTTATATAAAAACTCTGAAGTAGACCTAGTGCCGCAATACTACAATTTATGTTGTCGTAGTGCTCCAAAAGGAAGATTTGATTCTAGTGGTTTCTAATGAACATAAGCTTTAATGTTGTAGAATTTTCCTTCAGCACCACAACGCACTATAGATCCGCAGTGCTCCAGGTTGATTCTAACTTGATTCTAGTAAATAGAGAGCTTAACACCACAATATTGATCCCATAGCGCTGCAATGCTTTTAAGCATAGTTTTTTTATATTAAAGACAGAGATTAACACCACAATGCCATCTTCTCAAATGCCTAGCGCTCTAGAGCAATTTTTTCCAAACTTAGTTCTTAAACTTTTAAAGCCAATGTACAACTTTTTATGACTAAGTTTTAACAATAAATAACTTAAGGTGATTCATAGGGATTTAATAAGTATGTAATAACCTATAAATCTTTCCAAATATTATTCAAATTATTACGGTGAACTTAGTATTATAGAAAGGGTTGTTGCATGTGATTCAATGTTTGTGATTAGGCGGTGGTCTAATAGTGGTGATCCAATGATGGTGGTCGTGTGTCAATTTGACAGTAACAACAGGGTGATGGTCTGACAATGACAATTAGGCGTTGGTCCTATGGTTGCAATCTAACAATCGTGGTCTAATGGGTGGTCTGAAGGCAATGGTTGGGTGGTGGTCTTAGGATGATGGTTGGGCAGCGGTACAACAACGACGCTTGGGTGGAGTTCTACAATTTTCCAAACCTATGAGCTCTCTTAAATATTAAGACAAGGTTCCCCTTTATGTGGAGAAGGGGGATCATTTATAAATTTTGAGAGTAGCTTGTTTCATAAATGTAATCAAAATTTATAACACTTCATTGAGCAACAACAACAATAACATTAAGCCTTTATCCGAGTATGTGAGGTTGGCTACATGAATCATTTTTCTCCATTGTGCCCTGTTAAAAGTTAAATTCTCATTTAAATGTAATGAAGAAATGTCATTTCTAGTATTTTCTAACCAAGTATTTTTAGGTCTACATCTACCTTTCTTAACATAAGTAAAATCTAATACATCTACTTTCCTAACCGGGTCATCAGTAGGCCGCCGTTTATGTGACCAAACCATCTAAGGCGACTCTCTCTAATCTTATCTTCCACTGGAGCTACTCCAACCTTTTCATGTGTATGCTCATTTTGTATCATGTCTCTAAGAGTAAAGCCACTCATCCACCTGAGCATCCTTATCTTTGTAACACTTAAATTAATATTATGCTTCTCTTTTAATGACCAACATTCTGCACCATAAAGTAATGCAAGTCTAACTACCATCTTATAGAAATTTCTCTTAAGTTTGAGGGGGAATTTTCTATCACACAACAAGCCTGATGCATTCCTCCACTTTAACCATCCAACTTGAATTCTACTAATAATATCTTCATCTATTTCACCATCACTCTGAACAATAAACCTAAGATATCTAAATCGTGTACTCTTATTAATGACTTCATTACCCAAAGTCACAATCCCCCCACAAGAACTATTATTACTAAAGTTACACTCCATATATTCAGTTTTAGATCTATTCAAATGAAAGCCTTTAGAATACAAGGTTGACCTCCATAATTTAAGTTTACCTTCAACTCCCTCTCTAGTCTTATCAACAAGAAGAATATCATCAACAAAAAGCATACATCAGGTACAACCTCTTGCAAATGTCTAGTGAAAACATCCATTAATTTCCTTGATGATTTTTTATTATTTTAGTGTGTTAATGATATCAAAACTAAGCAATATTGAGCTTATTAAATTCATCTCATCGAGATGCTCGTTTTGACTATAAGTATGTAAAATTTAATAATCATTTGTTTATTTAATTAGTATCTCAAAAATTTAAACTATGCTTTAAGAGCTTGTTCTTATTTCAGTCGGACTCTGATCAGATCACTTTTAGTATTGTTGGGTTCATCTTGTTGGTCAATTTGACTAAAAGCTTGTTGAAATTAGAGTTCTAATAGTTTGAAGGTGTAAATAAGTCTAGCTGAGCTTGAGTCACCCTTAATTTGAGCTTAAACTTTATTATTTAATCAAGTTCAAGCTTGAGCTTGAGCACATTTCTACAAGTTCAATTTGGCTCACAAGTCTGCTCATTTATTCTTAAAGAGAGAAAATGATTATGATATAAATAATTGTTATAGTAAAATTTTTTAAAAAATGGGGAATCAAAGGATATATTATGAAGAATCAATTGATATAAGGAAGTGTGTTATAATTATTAAATACTTTAAACAACTTTGTACTTAAGTTTCTCAATATTAATACATTTTGAGTATATTTTATATTGATATTTTTAAGTGAAACGACTTGAGAACTAACAAGTCGAGTTGGGGTTAGCTTTCACAACGATTGTTGTTCCAATTTTGTATTTGAAGTTCTCTTTCACAGCGATTGTTGTTCAGAAGAATAATAAATAGTGTAAGACATTTGAATTTGAGTTGAGTGAATGTCCTGAATTAATTTTTGGTTGACACTACGATGACTTTCCCATTGTGAATTATTAATTTGCTCAAATAATTTTCACACTAATCAGTTCTAATTGTGTGCAGGTGTTGTTCCATTTGGCAATTTTGATTCTGATGTATTATGCTTCATCTTAATTATCTACTATCACTATTCTATTCTAATATACCACTCATTGTTGCTGTTAATCTGCACGAAAAGATATTTAGCAGTTAGCTTGTTGGAATAAGTACACAAGTAATCTAGGATACCTGAAATTATTTTATTATCTTGGAAGGATAAATCTGCAATGATATTTTTTTACTTCTATACTTTAGAATTCTCATTCGTATTTGTGCATTTGTGAGTGTAATTTGACTCTTAATAGGGTACAATAGAGAAGAATTAATGTAGCTGATCCCACGTAGTGGGATTAAAAGGCTTGTTGTTTTGTTTATATCTTAAGAAAAGTGAATAGAGATTTTAACCTCAGTTGAGCATTGTTAAATGAGCTTGCCATGCATTGAAAAAATAAATCCTTTCAAAATTATGTACAGAAACATTTTCCTGTTGCTTTATTAATATTTGCTTTAGTAATTAAGTTGAATTATTCTGTGTTTGGTATATGTGTGTACAATATTAGGTACTGCATGCAGCTTTTGATATAAAATCAGTCAGGTATCATATAATTGTGTAGACCATTATTTGTTGACGAATCATAATGCTTAATCGTATTTTTTGGCTTGACTTGTTCTTGCAATATTAATTATATCTACCCGGCTTTCTCTGCAGCTTGGTCGTTTTTCAGTTTTCATGTCTTTTGAAAGTATAAAAAGGTTGAGGTCGCTTGACTCAGGATTTATTTCATATGACTAGGATAAAACCTAACTTCTAAGCCAAGGAAGTTATGAAGATGCATTTGGGGATTTAGATTAGACATCACTATGACTTTTTATGCCTAAAGCTTTTTCATGATTCATGATACCCATACTTAGCCTCTGACACATGCTATGCATCTAAGGAAACAATGGAACTTATGACTTATGAGGAAATATATAAATAAATAAATAAAATGTGATATTGAGCAGTAGCTCATGAAGCTTTGCCCTCACCTTCCAACAATGGCATCATCATCATTTCTGATGCCGAAGTTCCACAGTTATAGAAATTTTTTTCACAATTTTCCGTTGGGCTAGTGCTCCGGTATGTTTGTTTGGAAATTAATGGAAGTAATTATAGTTTTTTTCTCCCTAAAATAATTATTTATTATTTAATGGAAGTAATTATAGCTTTTACATCCATTTTCTTATTTTTTGGTTCTCTTTTTCTTTATCTCATTCTATTTTCTAATGTAATTATTGTTTGACTTCTACTTTTCTTCTTCTTTTATTATTTTTCTGTTGTTCTTACATTACCTTTTTTTTTTTTTTTTAGAATCATCCATGCCTTTCTCACTTTGAATTGCTCTATTATAGGCCAGCAGTTAGAATAAAAAAAAGTGAATATAGAGGAGTGCAATGGTATGGGGTAATAAAAGGTGGCGAAAAGAAATTGATGTCTTATTTTCACCTTCCTGGTTTGTTGTTGTTGCCTTTTTTTTTTACAATTTTGGGCTGCTTTGGCACTCACTATGATTCAGACTACATGAACCAAACATTTGGATGATGAAGCCTATTACCTTTTTGTTGCCAGTTTTTATTCTTTTCATTTTAAATCAGTGCTATTGGTTTTTTCTTGTATAAAGGTAATGTTTCTTCATGCGTTTAGCTTATAATCTATAGCGAAAGGATTGTTGCGTACAACTACAACCAAGAATCTCCCCAATGCTGCTTCTACTCTGGAAACATAGCAGTTTTATCTTATTCAGGTCCGTTAGTATGTAATGTAATATTAAATATGCGGCTATCTGCTCTTGCCAAATGTGGGCACACTTACACCCTCAGCTTTATATATATATATATGCTATTTAAAAATAAATTGTACCTTGGCGCTCTGTTTATTTGGTTTGCATTTGATGTTCAAATGTTACTGGTGTTTTGCATGGACTACAAATCTCTCAATAGGCTTCATTCATCATTCATGAAATAGAATTAATGGATATGAAGATATCATTCAAATACAAGGTTAATTTATATCTCATGTACTGAAAATCCGTCTGTATTATTTATCATTGTCAACGCTCTGATATTCTAGAAATTTAATTCTTTTTAATGAGATTTTTTTTTTCTTTGAACTTGCTGTCAATTCATGTTCTCGTGTTTGATTAGGCTTTTTGTGTTTGTCATTTAGATATGCTTCCCAAGTTGAATATGCCCGGCAACTGGACAACGATGCTCTTTCCATAGGATAAACACCTTTTTTTGTTGCAATGTGGAGATTCTCTGGTGGTCTAGGGTCAAAGAGTATTCAAGCAAAACCTAGTGCATCAAATGTAGACTGCTCTGATGATGAGGTTTCTTCTTGCACAAGTAGAGAAGAAGGCTTGGAATGCCCAATATGTTTGGAATCCTTCAACATTGTGGAGAATGTGCCATATGTTTTATGGTGTGGTCACACCCTCTGCAAAAACTGTGTTCTAGGACTTCAGTGCGCTGTTGTGAAATTTCCGAGCGCTCCAATCCAGCTTCCCCTCTTCATTTCCTGTCCGTGGTGCAACTTGTTGTCCTTTCGTCTGGTTTACAAGGGAAATCTTAAATTTCCTCGCAAGAACTTCTTCCTTCTGTGGATGGTTGAGAGCTTGAACGGTGACAGGCTTAAGTCTCATTCTTCTCTCTGTGGGAGTCATCAACCAGTTTCGCATTCTAATGGTGGGCTCTTTCTTCGAACCAATGGATATGGCAACCACAATGTTAGAAGCTCCCTGCAACAATCACAAGCAACTAGTCCTGATCAAGCTGGCTCATTAGCTCAGTACCTTAATGCAGAGAGGATCAATGCTTCATTGAGGAAATCTCTGGTTTTCTTTGTTCAACTGACTGCCAAGTTTCCTCTGGTCATCGTCTTTCTCCTTATCGTGCTCTATGCCATACCTGCCAGTGCTGCAATTCTGGTTCTGTATATTCTCATTACGATCTTGTTTGCCTTACCTTCCTTCCTGATATTGTATTTTGCATACCCAAGCTTAGATTGGCTGATCAGGGAAATCATCAATTGAGCTCCAGAAGTATAAGTTCCAGCTTTCTTGCATCTAAGGCTTCGTTTGGGTCAGCTTTCGTACTGCTTCTTAAAACGGCTTTTTAATATAAAGTTTTTTAATCCAAGAAAATTTTGTACTAGAAAATTGTTTTAGAAAGCAACAAAAAAGCTGTCCCAAATGAAAGTTAAGTCAGGGCTTTATGGCACCAATCATTCAGAGTTCAAATGTCAGGTATTTGAGTAATGCAATTTTAGCAGCAACAAATATTATAGCTTGTTGCAATCTTCTAGAATTCAAATCTAAGGTGTTTGGGTTTTGTGTTTTGACACTTGCAAAACAATTTATTATCAATGGATTTCTGTGTTGGTACCCAGTTTGCTTCATTGGAATCTGGTATTTGTATACTTTGGTGAATGGGATTAATCTTGCTGGAAAGCTATGTGCAAGTTGCTTGAATTTATGATGCAGAGGCTGGTTCAGTTTTCCAAAACTGCTAGCTACATATGTAAACTTAATGAAACAACTGTTTAAGGTTTTGTTTGGAAAAAAATTTTATCACTGTTTTTAAGAAATTTTTATATTAGAAAGTTATTGTAAAAAAGAAAGAAATCATTTTAGTTTATTTTTGAAGTAAAACGTTCTTACCCAATTTGACCGGGAACTCTTTATACCGCTCTTTAGTGTTTCCATGACCACCCATGACGGCCGTCATCTCCACCGCCTGCCGTCACTGTCGCTGCCACCACCTGTAGCCAACCACCGGTCGACATCAATAGTTCTTTGCCATTGCTAGAACAAAATGAACAGACCACAATGCCCAACCTCTGATGTTAAAGCAATGCCACTCGATCTCTACTGTTAGACCACCCCCACCTCCACCTCACACTTAACCGACCACACCCAACAGCAAGTAGCCATCAACTCTATTTCCTATAACTATATCGCTCCAAAGCAGCCCATTAATGGGAAAAAAAAGTTTTCCTATAAACTTTTCGTAATTCCTTATGTCTGTTAATATCAGTGCTTTATAAACCGGACCGGACCGGCCGGTTCAACCGTGAACCGGTCACTAGGCCGGTCCGGTTCAGCCCTAAAATCGCTTCTGCAAAGAACTGGCCGGTTCAACCGCGAACCGGTCCGGTTATTTTTGAACCGGCCGGTTCAAATCTCATAAATTTTAATTATTTTTTTTAAATAAATTAATTAATATATATTAAAAATATTTAATTAAAGTTAAATATACTTCATATAATAAGCAATTTTTTGTACTCAAAGCATCATGACACATCTTCACATGACCTCCCCATGTGCTCCCTTGGTGCAAGGAATCTAAATATGCTATATAAACAATAGCAAGAAAGTGTTTCTAAGCGACCCCGGTTAGACCGGTTGAACCGGTCGAACCGTGAACCTCTTCTTGTTCCGGTTCGTTGTCCGGTCCGGTTTTCAAAGCCTTGGTTAATATTATTAGTTATTTATCATTATAATTATTATCAATAATAATAATAATTATTGTTATTATTAAAAAATTAAAAATTAAAAAAAAAAGAGAAGAAAGAAGGGGTATTTTGTGCGATTTTATCTCTTGACACCATCGTCATCATCTCCTCGTCACTTAGGTACAAATGTCCCTAAAACTTGAAAGCCCTCAAATCTTATTTTTGGCACTCGCAGGTCCCGAGGGACCACCTATATATGCTTTCGTAGCATGGTGGGAGAGAGCTCGGTGCAGTGCTTGTAGTGAAGTGGGTATGATTTGTACACGCTCTCGTAATGTGGTGGGGACAACATTAAGAACCCGTGTACGTGCCTTAGTGCCTGCGGGAAAAAAAACTGCACATTTTTAGCATGTGCCTCGAAGACTCATACACGCTCTTGTTGCCTAGTGGGATTAAAGAACCACGGCCACGTTGTCGCCTGACACTTATCATACACGCTATTGTAGCATAGTGAGAAGGCCCAACTCAACAATTTTTTTCCTAAATAGGGGAGACATTATGAGGCTGTCGAAATTTCTAGTAAATATATGACTTGAACCTGAACAACACTACAAGGGACTTGATTACAATAGAAGGACATGAAACATAACTTGCAAAATAAACAATAGGGAACTGGACCCTAAATTCTAAAATACATAATCAAATTGAAAATATAAATGTTAAGTAACAGTTCAAGTCATTTAAACAAACATGAATGAATAAGTAGGGGACTTGTGATGAAAAAGACTCCGAGCAAACACATCAAATTTATGCAAGTAAAAGAGATTGATAGGTGATGACTATAATGACTTGATAACCAAGATGGGTTCTAGGAGTTCAAAGTATATGCAGCTTATATGCAATTAGTGTTGCCCAATTGCTGAAAAGCATGGTAGCCGCCTTGCAGGCAATTTGCAAAAGATTACAACACAATGATTCATCCATAATCACATATGAAGGATGCAGCACGACTAGAAATGAAGAAGGGAAGGTTATAGTGAAGATAACCCGCTCTTACAACCAACAACAGTTAGCTTACAAATAAGTACACTAATCTACTTATGAGTGACGACAGTGGATGTAACAACTCACCAAATAATGTTTATAGTGAAGGTCTGTACTGAATCTAATGTCGTTTGGTAGTTAAAGTAACATGCAGATGAATACACAACCTGCTTGCAGTCAATAGCAGTTACCTGACGAACAAGTGCATTAACTTGTTCATGAGCAGCAACAACAAATGTAGTGACCTGCCAGCTAACGTGCATAAAGAAATCAATAATGAGTGCAGCTTAATTGGTAGTCCACATTAACATGCAAATGAACATATAAAATTTTCTTGCAAATGATAATACTCCTTGTAGACATATGTATTCAGCGCGCAATAAATGTCAGGACATTCACATAATCAACAATGACGCGTTGTCAAGGAAATGCATCAATCCTCGACAAGTCAGCTGCTAAACCCAACTAAGGAAGATAGAGTTGGAGCTCAATTGCCCGACTTGCTTAATATTTTGAACCAGCCAATACTACCGTCTTGTGATCATATTTTGTGAAATTCTTGTAATAGTATATCAACAGATGACAAATATAGCTTTCTTGATCGCAGACTACCTTATGAATGCAAAAATTTGAGACCTACCACCCATAATGAAAAGTTCTTTACTATTTATAAAACTATGAGTCGAGATATGTCATCTTTGCAGCAAAGTTCCTCATTTGACATTTCTGACGTGGATGTACTACTGCCATCTCATGCAACAACCACGTTGAGGAGACACACTCATTTTATTGGAGCTGAAAGTTTTGTTGATCATGTACAACTAAGTCCTCCAATTAACAATTTTAGATATTCTAATAGTGACAGTTTGAATAAAAAGGCCCCCTAATGCGTCACACAATGTATTTGCCGATAGAAGTATACATTCTCACGGGTTGCACATTGAGGAAGATGACAACATGCAGAAGATGAAAAGTGATAAATTGCATTGCCGGTTTTCGATAAATCAAGTCTAATGCACCAGTAACCATGCCATCGAATCCACAACATTCGTGTAAACAGACAGAAGGCGTTTACAAGCTTATATATAAAAATTATGCATTTCCAAATAATCACCACCTATATAACTCGTTATATTCAAATATAGTAAAAAATACCCCCTCATGCATTGAAGTGCACATTGACACATTCAGAACATGTATATGCATTTTCCAGAGCTCTGAAAGACATGTAAAATATACACATTGCAATACACATTGTACTCTATGCAAGCACATCATTCAATATGCAACGCCATGCTTTGGTGACACATTGCATTAACATGTAAAATGCATCGTTCATATACATGTTGCAACATAGAAAATGCATTATGCAAGCATACTATCAACATGTAAAATATGTTGCACAGTAAAAACGCTATTTTAACATGCAAAAACATCAGACACTATATGCAAACACTAAATTATCATGCTAATGCATTGTGTAAGGAAGAAGACAATGTATGGACATATTATACATACATATCATAGACTAATTTATTAAGCCACCACGCAATGTGCAAAATGTCACATGCTGCAACTAAACAATGCACAAATATAAAATATATCATACATGCATACATGCAGATATGTCATGCGCACCCACTATACTGCATACATATAACCATTATTCAAATATATTATGCAAAATGTATTCAAAAGCATATACCTGCATATGCCCCAGTGAGCATGTTGTAGATACACACATGACGTCTGAGGGCACGGCGCGAGTTAAAAAATAGACTTAAGTTCAAGCTTGATCCTTTTATATGAATATATAGGAGTCAACATGGCTCAAACAGTCAAACAAATTTACAGTCATGTCATCGACCGAAATATTTATTTCATACGTTCATATTAGACCTTCGAGGTCTATAACAAAGAAAATTCATCAATAAATGCATAAAGCTGGTGATAAACATGATCCTCTGTCAACAAGTAGACAAAGTCGACAATGTTCGACCAATAAAGTAAAATTGCCCATAAAATCCTGTTGACGACTGTGTTGATAGAAAATCTCAACTGAAGGGGACCAAAAATATTGAAAATGCCTCCAAAATTCTTATGAAAATTCAAATTCAAAAGTAACCAAAATTTAAGATATTTAAAATTAAAACAAAACACCAAAATACTTAAAGCAAAATACCAATCCACCCTCCGCAATAGTTTGTTGTGGTGGACAAATTAGAAAATTATTTCAGCTCACAAAGAGCAAATATTTGGTTTAGAATATCATTAGGATTCATTCTTAATCCGTCTCTTGCAAGTAGGAATGTGTCATGTGTCATCTCACCAGTAGTTTCGTTGCCAAAGGGAACCATAGGTAAACGATTATGTCCGGGACCCTCTGACCGGGTGGTTTTGCCACCAAATGACATTATTAAATTATGATCATGGTCAGATCCCGTATGTTCCCCAATAGCATTAAATTCTTGAGTAATGAATCAATAGGATATGTTCAATAGAGCACAAAGCCCTCTTGTCAGCTTAGGTGGATTCAAATTTGTCCCCTTAAACAAATATTCATCCATGTCAATAAGGTACCCTTGGGCGAAGCAAACCAAGACTGCTGACAAGAATCATTTCGTTAGGTTGGGTCGAATACCTCATCAAGCTAAGAAAACTAGGGAATATGATGACTCGAGACAACGGAAAAATGTGATCTTGATTGGGTCTATCATCACTCCCCCCACCATCCACTTTAAGTGCAAGGTGGTCAATTTTCAATTTTAAATATTAAATTTTCAAATACATGAGCATGCTGCTACTATACGCCAAATACTCTGTATCTGTTTGATGACTGGCCATAATCGAAAGTTCTCTCTCACTATCGAGAGGGGTAATTAACTATAAGGACTTACACCAATAGAAAACTTGAACTCATATCCAAAAGTCCTTGCAAAATGAAGGCAAAATCTATGAGTGATGTCTTACTCACAACCCAATTTGCTTTATGAAAATTTGCCTCAGAAAATACTCGTATTTTTTCCAATGTAATATTATTTTCATAATGAACAACTCAAATTTTAAGATCTTGATTTTTGCTCTCATAAATATGCTTTTTAACATTCTTTAAATGCCCTATCTAATCATGGTATAATATTTTACTTTATTTTTTTATTTTTCACTCGTCATCTTGAAGTCTAAAACTAATAAATAATGTTGGGTATAGAAAGTTTCTTTTGAAATGACTTTACAATTATCTCAATCTAAACTACTTATTTTTCTTATAAAAACAATTAATATGAGTTTTATTATATCCATTCTTATAAGTAATGAGATGCTCTGCTAATTTTTAAAATAAAGTATAAACAATTATAAAATAATAAGATATAACAAAATTTAATATTATCCTATCATCTTCATTAGTCATTCTAAATCCGTAGCCCTCATAAATGCTTTTAAAGTCTTCTACCACTCTGCCAACATAACTATCTAAACCTTCTCAAACAGACATTCATTTTTTTTTATGAGAAATCATCTATATTAATTCTTCTAACTCATTCCAAAAATTTATTTTTAAAAATATCTTTAAACCTATTTGAGAAGCATAAGCACTTATAAATTATAAAATTAATAATCTCAGCATCAACAATAATATTTAAAGTTATACTTTTATCTCCAATTATATCAACTTATATAACATTAACTTCAAATTCTTATTTATAATCATACCTACACTATTTTTAATACGAGTATATCTAAATCCTATAGTTTTAAAACATAAACTTTCATTATCCGTAATCTTTTCACTAACCCATTTAGATTCATGAATATGTATAATATTTATTTTTCTATGAATCATAATATCTAATTTTTCTAAAGCTCTTTAGCATTAAGTATGCAGGAATTTACATAAACAAATCCACAAAAATAACAAAATTCAATATAAACAAATTAATATTTCACATGATGAGCACAAAAAGGAGCCTGGAGAAGCTGTATGTCAGAACAGTGTAGAGAAAATTCATAGCAGATTACAGACTCAAATCTCAGCAGTCAACATTGCCAACTCTCAATCATATTTCGGGTCTATTTTGTTGGGTTCAATTTGGACAATCAGAAAAAGATTTATTCATCAATGTCTTCCTTGACCGATCTCATGAACTTTAATGCACTGATCTCCATCCAACCAAATCAGAATGAGTAAATAAACTAAAAATAAAAATGCCAGCTGAAGTTTGAGGTCCCCATCCTCTCAACCGCTATGCAAAGCTGCTCAGCCTTATTCTTTCTGATCATTTGGGAAGGATGACTCAGTTATTCTACATCCAATTATCATATTTTGTAGGGACAGTGCTGCTAATGTTCTTATTCATCGCTTATGAATATAGCAGAATCATAGTTCATTGATCTCATCTGTAAAAAATCCGTCCAATTAAGATTTTGTTTGGGACGGCTTTCTTACCGCTTCTTAAAGTAGCTTTTTAGTACAAAATTTTTAATTTTTGTACTATAAAGATGATTTAAGAAGCGGTAAGAAAACAGTCCCAAACAAAGCCTAAATTTTGAACTTCTATTGAGTCAATAGAAGGCCAGCCAAATCCAAGGAATGAGGAGTTTATTCTTTCCATCCAATCTCTCCTCTACTCCAGGTGATCATGAGGCCGGATGGACATGAACATTGCAGCATAAAGCCTTAGTCGGCGATCATGATCTTCGGTTCTATTTGGAATGTCCATATTACCCATTTTTCTTTTCTTGTAGCGTCTCCATGCAAGCTGAATGTTCACAGCTGCCCATGTTCGCCAATTGGATGAGTAGTATCTTGCTGTTCTATTAAGTCTCTCATTTGCAAATCTGTAACGAAAATGCTCGGTTATGTACTTAAGGTGGTAAGCTTCAAGACTGAAAGCCTCGGTTGGCTCAGCACATTCAAATGTGGCAGAGGAAGGGGGAAGACGATCGACAAATGGGCGGCGGATGCACCATGAAAGGAGTTCATCACCAAGGAAATTTCCAGGGCCTAACATGCAAGTTGCAAACATGCCTTTGCTAAGGCATTGGATGCTTTGTAAGCGACCATGAACAATAAATATCATTCTCTGGACAGGGTCTCCTTCTCTAATTACCTGAATTATAGCATATAAATCAAGAACTAAAGAGGTATGTGATAGCCAAATATTTACCTTTTTACTGGTTTACTATGATGATAGCTGTGTGAGGAATTTTTTTTCTGTGCGGAGTCCAGACGTCGTCCAGAGACCAACAAAAATGTGCCACGTCACTCCAAAAGTGTACCGCAATCGGTACCGACGCTCGGTACCGAGCACGGACCGGACGATTCTCCCGTCCGGTGTCCGCACAAAATAATCTCTCCTGTGTGAGACTTCACGTACCTTTTCATGCTTGGAAAATACCAAGTGCTTGACTCTGTCGCAGATGTTGTCGAGGATTAAATCATCCAGGTTGTGGAATAGAGGAACCTGACCAACAAAGCAATCATCAGATAACTGCGTCACTGAAGGTTGATAGAACCAGGATTGTATAAGTCCTTTAATTTCAGTTTTATTAGAGCATGAAGCACATAGCAAGTATATTTGCATGACTGATAAAAGGATGGAAGCTGTCACACTATAAAATTGAAATTAACCATGAAGAAAGAAAAAAATATGGACTTATGGAAGGTATGAGAATAGAAAATAAATGACCAAGTACAAAACTATGGAATTCACTTGTCTACAAAGAGATCCTAGAATCTCAATTGCAAACTAGCAACACGAGGGCATAGGCTTTTCTGAAAGAAAATGCAAATTATAGTGCAAGCCTCTTAGTTTTTTGGTATGGATGGCATCTACAAACTGAGTTGTGATTTGCTTAAAGGAGAAATGGATTACTGAACTTAGCAATTATTTTTGTTCATCTATTGTTCAACTTTTTCTTCTAATTCTATAAATGAATCACCCCTTTGGTAACCAATTTCTTTTGCTCATAACAATCAGAATTTGATTAACATACTACTTTCCTTCTTCCAGCTCTCATTTCTAAGAGATGCATTATTTTTGTCCAATCTGAGGAGTAACTCATCTATTTGATAATTTGAACTTAAAGAATAGCTTTGTTCTGATGGTACCTTCTTAATGAGTTCCAAACATAAATGTCGTTTGATATCCCTTCTAAGCCCTTCTGGAAGGTCTTGGATGATATCCATTTCATCTTCCCCTCTCATTGCTGCCCATCTCTGACGCTCATACTGGCGTACTCTTTGCCTTAGTCGTGATGGAAGCTGCCTCCTCCGCATCCACCATTCCATGTCTCGACACCTTAGTTGCATCTTTCTCTTCCTTGCCATGACAACATGTAAAAACACCTACAAGGCAAGCCCCAGTGTTTAGAACCATAAGCATTATGAAACATGACTATTAAACATACTAATATTAAAGCTAAGTAGCAGACCTGAATATTTCCTATCAGTAAAGTGAAGAGCATGAGACCACTCAGCACAGTAACTATGCTGAATATCACTTCCAACCACTGGCTCGTTGGCTCCAGATTATTGCCAAACGTGCTGATTCAATAGAAAGGGTATTCCAAAGAAGTAAAGAGAACTCTGCATTAGCTTATTAAAGATAAACGGATGGCTCAACAATATATGTACACTTTGGTTTCTGCTGCAATTCATAGGAGCAAGTTAATAGGAATAAATGTAAATTGAATTATAATGCCGGCCCCAAATAGTTCATTTTCAAAGTATTTATGGCTTCTGTTTTCATGTTAGGCTTTTTTTTTGTTAAATTGTTTTTCAAGCTACTTGTACCTGAGAGTCATTAGGCCCCAGAATATAGGGTAAAGGATCTTAACAGCAAGTGAGTTGCTAGAAACGACAGCAGGAGCCGAGTCGTATATACCATATGGAAAGGAACCATCGCCATCCAAGCAAGCTTGGAGATTCCAGCCACCTGTAGATGCTGATAAATTATAACCAGGGGAGCTTGGGAAAATTGGTGAAAGGCCTGCAGTGGAGCAGGTCAGGGACATGAGATTGCAACTATTATTCTTCTGGCATTGCAGCTTTAGGCATGAGGCAAATCGTTGAATTGCAAGAACGTACCAGCAGCCACCAACTACCTGAAAATAACTTGTTCTTATACAGAAGGCAGAAAGCAGAACAATTTTTATTTAGTCATTCAAATTGGAACTGAGAGGAAATTTCTGTTATGTGCACTATTGGGAGCCTTGATGTAAACGCATTGTTGAATTTTAGCAATGAATTCTAACAAACTTGTTTTTTCTCAACCTAAAAAACTTATTTTAGATCAATTTAAAGGGAAGGGTGATTTTTTTACAATTAACAGGTCATACTTCTCTATGTTCCTCAACTTCATGAGCAAGCAAGTCTATTATAAAACCAAAATGATCACAGTATCACACTATTTCAAACAAAGATGTTTAGGCTTTGTTACTGATTCACGTGTAAAAAAAGCTTAATTTCTACAAGCTTATTCGGTATTACAAATATATTTAAGCATGGAGAAATTTAACAGTGCTGGAAAAAAGCAAGAGCAGACCCACCCACTCTTGCCATATGCCGAAAAATAAGGGGCAGACATCAAGATTTGAACTCAAGAATTCTTGCTTCTATAGTTAACTAGAACTAACCAATCTAAAAGGGCCAGGAATGCCCAAAAATCAATGAAATAAAGCTTAAGGTTTAGTGAGTTTCTGTTTTGTCCATGCTGCCAAACTGAATGAAATTATTTGCAAGAGATTTGATATAGGACATCTTAGGGTCTAAAATTTGCTAATTCAAATTTATAATGAGATGGACAAAATATCATAAATACCTTCAGATTCTCAGATGAAAAATTCTTAATTTTGACATTTTTTAATTAATTAATATGAAAACAGGAAATAAGAGGAAATCCGATCTGGGTAATAATTTAATAGCTTTCTATCACCTGATGTCATGAATATTTGTGGTAAAAGATGAGATTTACATATTGTACCTCATAAACATGGCTTTTAATTGTACAACATAAGTTGTATTCATATGAGCATGAAAAATGAAATGACATGGCATTCGTCTATGAATTGTTTAACTTATGAAAGATTAAGATGAACTACACCATATTAGGCCTTGAGTGAATCTACACTTTTAGAATTGTAGCAATCAACATTATGAAAAGGGCATGTGCACGCTAGGGGAGTAGGGTTGATTGTTGAAGCTGTAACATCTGTTGTTTTTGAATCCAGGTAAGTAACTTGACCTTGTATAAATCATTATTTAATCTAAAATATGATTCTTGTAGTGTCTAAATTACCTTAAATGCAATTAGAATTAAAAAGGGATAGAGAAAACGTAAAGGAGTGAAAATGCTTCTTGGAGTGCAGCGGCACTGGGAGAGGTGGCGTTGTGGCATTGTCCTCTTTGTATGGGAAGAGAATTTGGGGAAGCGCTATGTCGCTGTGTGGCGCCGTCATGGCTCTCTGGTTTGAGAGATCTGGGAGGATAAAAATTATTCTATTTGCAGCACAGCAGCATTGGGAAGGTGAGCGCCGCGGCTCTGAACCAAAAATTATGTTTTTAAATATATTGATCCATTTTAAATCCTCACCCAACCCCCATTGCCGAAGAAGGTATTATCTCATGACCTTGAGTTTGGATGTTCTCACTAGACATTTGCAAGAGAAGATATATTGGGGTATGTCTTTTAGTTTTGTTATTAATGTTCTCACTAGAAATTTTTAAGAGAATGAATCTTAGCGTATGCTTTTGCTTTTATAATGGATGTTCTCACTAGACATTTGTAAAAGAATGTATTTTTATGTATGCTTTTAATTTGTTTTTGTTATGGATGTTGTCACTAGACATTTGCAAGAAAATGTATCCTGGTGTTTGCTCTTGGTTTTAGTTATGGATGTTCTCACTAGATTTTTGCAAGAGAATATTGTACCTTGGTGTATGCTTTTTACTGATGATATTATTCTTGTAATTGATAATAATAGAGAGGGAGCTGAAGGTAAACTTGAATTATGTAGGTCAACCTTAGAGTCTAAAGGTTTTCGCATAAATTGATCTAAACTTTAATATATTTAGTGTATTTTTAGTAGTAATAGACCTAGTTGAGGGATTGTAACTTTGGGCGATGAAGTCATTAATAAAAGTACACGTTTTTAATATAATTGATCTATTTATGATAAAATAGAAGGGGATATTATTTATAGTATTCAAGTTGAATGGTGGAAGTAGAAGAATGCTTTGGGCGTTATTGTGTGGACGTAGAGAAATGCATTGGGCATACTTGATTATAGAAAGGATATGAAAATAACATATATGTGAGAAGGTTGGAGTAGCTCCAATGGAAGATAAGATTAGAGAGAGTTGCCTTGGATGATTTGGTCACTTAAAACGATGGCCTTTCGAGCAGGTTAAGACTCTTTGTATTTTTCTTCAATGAATATCACAACACTATCTAATATATCCATATTATATGTAAGTTATATTATGGATATCAAAACTTAAAAAAGTTGGATATATAATCGATTGACGAAGGACGAAGGACGAAAGACATTAACAGATGAATTCATTAGAAGGGTGAATATTTTCATTCAGACAACTTCTCAACTACCTAGTTTTATCTCAGATGGAAAGTTTCATTGCCCATGTTCTAAACATAAAAATTAGGTGCACATAAGCTCAAATGACGTAACAGTTGATCTATACCATCGAACTTCATGCCAAAATATTAGAATTGGACTTCTCATGGTGAGTATGAACCAGATTTCAATTCTCGATATGGCCCATCGACAAGTTCTAATATAGATGAGGAAGAAAATATATGAACTAATCTTGAGGACTTAATTCATGATGCAAGTGGAGCATAATTTGAATAATATACAGAAGAGTCGCCTAATAAAGAAGTACAAAATTTTTATGATTCCACCTAATACTGATTTTGCATCGGAAATGCATTGGAAAGCTCGTATTTTTGGTGGATTTTCATTGTTACAGGCAGATTCCATCCGCCGGTAATAGCACATTTTTCGTAGTGTCAAATGATGTTTATACTGTTATTATTATTTTTTTGGATTGTATAGTTAGCTCTGATTTATTCCAAATTGTGGTTGAGTTAAAATTTAAATTCAGAGATTTAATCCTTTCATTAGATCTTTGGGTGTTATAAATTTATATCATGTAATTATTTGAAAGGATTGGATCATAAACAGAGCTATAAGAAATGATCAATAGTTATAAGACGAAGGAGTTGGGGCATAGTTTAGAACTTTTCAGTTAATTTGTAATAAGTGTACGTATAATTGAACTCTTTTATTCTCAATCTAGATAAAATAATTGCTACACATGGACCTCCAAGATACCAAGACAGTTGATGGACAAAGTTCTAACAAATCTGCTACAGTTCAAAGTATTATAATGGATATGATCTGAGATTTAATGTTATTGTTTGTTGTCTTAGTAGTCCAGTTGATGAGTGAGACTTAGAGTTGGATGGTTGAAGTTAAAGGAGATGAGGTAGATAAGTATTTATAATGATTTTTGAGATTAAAACTGTAATATCTCCAGATTAAGTATTCTATTCAACTTATTTTGATCAGATTTTAATAAGTTAAGTTGTTAAATTTCTTCATTTGAACTCTTATGCACATGTTGGAGAATGTTTTAGATGCATGTGTTATAAAACAAGTATCGAGGGTTTGTTTGCATGTTTGAAAAATATGAAGTTTTTCCCTTGGGGCGTTGCGGAGTTTGGTTTGACGACGTCGCAGGACTAGTGCTCTATGATTTTTGGCAAATTAATTTTGTGTGGCAACGCTATGGATTTTCTGAAGGAGCGTTGTGGCTAGGCCGCAGCACTAGGTGGAATTTTAATATTTAAAAATATATTTTTTCACTATTCATTCATTCATCCGATCCATTAGGCAACTGGCACTAGAGAGAGAATATGGAAAATTCCTAGATAGAAAAAGTCTATTTTAGGTTGGTTCGGGTCTTTTTTGCTTCCAGCCTAGTTCTAAAAGTTGTCCGGATCAAGGTAGATTACACTTTACCTATCTCAGTTTTAAAAAATATAAATATTTCCTTAATTTATAGTGAAAAATGATGATAATTTTCTATCCATAAAACTTTCACCGTGTAACTTTCCGTATATCGTAGATCTAGATAATGATTCTAAACATTTAAGTAATTTGTAGGGCATTAATGTCGAGGGTTTTGAAATGTGCATCTTTTTAATTATTTGAAAAATAATCTAGAACTTGAACAATAATATTGTAGTACAATTAAAGTTTTGAAATAATATTTTTAATTATTCTAAAATAATGAATTTTTATATAGTAGTATATTTTGTTATCTACCATTAAACACTAAGTGAAATTATGAAATTAGCTTATTTTTGTAATGCAATAAATTATGTAATTATGAGATTGAATTATGTGATTTTGAGGAAGTTCTGATGTGTGGTGGAAGTTTTGGTGCTAAATGCACATGTACTCATAAGGGTATAAATTTTTGAATATATAATATGTGCTGAGCATTGGAAGTCATAAGGGCCTGTATAGGGATTCATAAGGGTATGAATTCTGATATATATATAGAAGGTATAATGGCCTGAGTGAAATCTATTACTTTCTGCTTTGATATACGAAATTTTGTTTATTGACTTTTTTGCATTACTATTTAGGTTTCTAACAACTACAAGCATGATTCAATTCAGTCCAACGATTACTATGAAATGCATTTAAACTCAGTTGTGCATTTCATAAATGAAATGACTTTGATTGGCAAATGTGACCTTTTGAGTTGTATTAGCTCAAGTTATTTCGTCTTTTGGTTTCAGGGTCTAATAAAGTGAAAGGGTTAGTTGGGTAGCAATGTCAGGATCCTACCTGAGTTCGTAGAGGTATTTTTGTTTTTTATTTTTGTATAGTCATGGTCAGTTTATTGCTCTATTATGTAGCTCAATTTATGACAATGTACTGTAATTGTATATTCATTTTAAAGATAAATGAAAAGATAATTTTGTCGATGAGTTGATTTTCAATATACTGGATGTTGTTAATAACTATGTGTTTATTATTATTTTAAAGTCAAAATTTGGATGAAAATTAAA